AACACTGTTTTATCCATTCTTGCTGTGGATTATCCCGTCGACAAAGTATCTTGCTATGTTTCAGATGATGGTTCAGCAATGTTGACCTTTGAATCCCTCTCTGAAACAGCAGAGTTTGCTAGGAAGTGGGTGCCCTTCTGTAAGAAGCACAATATTGAGCCTAGGGCCCCTGAATTTTATTTCGCCCAGAAGATTGATTACTTGAAGGACAAGATACAGCCTTCTTTTGTGAAAGAACGCCGAGCAATGAAGGTGAGCCTTCATAAGTATGTTGGTAGATGAGGCTTGTATGTTGCAATAGAAATAGAGGATATAGGAACCCAACAATGGGGTTGAGTAGTGTTCAAATCTCTTAAGCCTCATACTTGCAATAACATAGCCTATGGTTGTGACTACTGAGGTTATTGTTTCCACATAGTCCCCAGTCCAGAAAATAAAAAAGAAAAAAAAAAAAAAAGGAAAGAGAAAGAAAGAAAATAAAGTAGTTATGTTAACGTGTATTTGAGGGTAGACTAAATAGATCATAAAAAAATTGTTTGAGCCTGTATGTTGTAGGAACAAAATTTATTAGGTCTGTCAAAGTAGGTTTCGCAAGATGCTTATGTGATGTGTGTATAAAAGCTACGGTTCTGACTGTGATGTGTTGTGCTAATCAGTTAACATAAACCTCTGTATGGCTTTCGTGGTTTGATTTTAAATTGCGCTTGTTTAAGTTATAAATAACACATACTTTTTATTCCTTGCAGAGAGAATATGAGGAGTTTAAGGTGCGGATCAATGCCCTTGTTGCCAAAGCTCAAAAGATGCCCGAAGAAGGTTGGACAATGCAGGATGGCACCCCATGGCCTGGGAATAATCCTAGGGATCACCNAGTCTTCATAAGTATGTTGGTAGATGAGGCTTGTATGTTGCAATAGAAATAGAGGATATAGGAACCCAACAATGGGTTTGAGTAGTGTTCAAACCTCTTAAGCCTCATACTTGCAATAACATAGCCTATGGTTGTGACTACCGAGGTTATTGTTTCCACATATTCCCCAGTCCAGAAAATAAAAAAGAAAAAAAAAAGGAAAGAGAAAGAAAGAAAATAAAGTAGTTATGTTAACGTGTATTTGAGGGTAGACTAAATAGATCATAAAAAAATTGTTTGAGCCTGTATGTTGTAGGAACAAAATTTATTAGGTCGGTCAAAGTAGATTTCGCAAGACGCTTATGTGATGTGTGTATAAAAGCTACGGTTTTGACTGTGATGTGTTGTGCTAATCAGTTAACATAAACCTCTGTGTGGCTTTCGTGGTTTGATTTTAAATTGCGCTTGTTTAAGTTATAAATAACACATACTTTTTATTCCTTGCAGAGAGAATATGAGGAGTTTAAGGTGCGGATCAATGCCCTTGTTGCCAAAGCTCAAAAGATGCCCGAAGAAGGTTGGACAATGCAGGATGGCACCCCATGGCCTGGGAATAATCCTAGGGATCACCCTGGAATGATTCAGGTATTATCATCTTTCCAAGTGTCTTGAAGAATCACTTTTTAATATTTCCTTTTTATCTTTTATGCTCTTTATCATTATATCTTCCATTTTTGTGGTTCTGATTCTCTTTGGTGGAGAACAGGTGTTCTTAGGCCACAGTGGAGGGCTTGATACAGACGGAAATGAGCTACCTCGTCTTGTTTATGTTTCTCGAGAGAAGCGTCCTGGCTTCCAACACCACAAGAAAGCTGGAGCTATGAATGCATTGGTTTGTGATCTTCAACCCTTTTGTTTATTTCATTGAATTAATTATTAATAATGTAAAAGTTATTTCTTCCCATTTGGGTTGCTGCAGTCAGTGTTGTAACTCATGCTGTGTGCAAGTTCTTTTGCCTTTCTTATTTACTAACCGGGTATGTTTCACCTTGTAACATGCAGATTCGAGTTTCAGCTGTCTTGACCAATGGTGCGTATCTGTTGAATGTTGATTGTGATCACTACTTCAATAACAGCAAAGCTCTTAGAGAGGCAATGTGTTTCATGATGGATCCGGCACTTGGAAAGAAAACTTGCTATGTACAGTTCCCACAGCGTTTTGATGGCATTGATAATCATGATCGATATGCCAATCGCAATATTGTTTTCTTTGATGTAAGTCCTACTTAATTTCTTGCCAGTCTGCCAGTATGAATAAAGTTCATTGTAATAATTATTGGGCTTAGGCTTGTTAAGCACACCCTTTTTCTTCTTGTACTTGTCAGATCAACTTGAAAGGGCTGGATGGCATCCAGGGTCCAGTCTATGTGGGAACTGGTTGTTGTTTCAATAGGCAAGCACTATATGGATATGACCCAGTTTTAACTGAAGAGGATTTGGAACCAAACATTATTATCAAGGGATGTTGTGGTTCAAGAAAGAAGGGAAAGGGTTCTAACAAGAAGTACATTGACAAGAAAAGGGCAATGAAAAGAACTGAATCTACCATTCCGATTTTCAATATGGAAGACATTGAGGAGGGTGTTGAAGGTAGGTTTTTAATAAGACGTTATTGTTCCTGACATCTTTCTTTTAAGCTAATGCACTGCAAGCCAGCATTAAGCTTGTTTGAATGACCATTAATTTAATATAACTTCTTAGTATCTTTGGGGGCGTTTCTATCCTTTCATTTGACTAAAGTTGCCGGTTAAATCAAATTGGGTTTTGGGGAAGCTCCATACAGTGCAATTTTTTTAACTGTATTGCTTGCATTCTTCAGGATATGATGATGAGAGGTCCCTTCTTATGTCTCAGAAGAGCTTAGAGAAGCGTTTTGGTCAGTCCCCAGTTTTCATTGCTGCTACATTCATGGAACAGGGAGGCATACCACCAACCACTAATCCTGCGACTCTTTTGAAAGAAGCAATCCATGTTATAAGCTGTGGATACGAGGACAAGACTGAATGGGGTAAAGAGGTTAGTGTTATGTCAACAGGGGATCTAGCTGGATATTGTCTTAACTATGTTTTATTTTATATAGGTTAACTAATTAATCTTTACGTCTACTACCAGATTGGATGGATCTATGGTTCTGTGACAGAAGATATCTTGACTGGGTTCAAGATGCATGCTCGTGGTTGGATATCAATTTATTGCATGCCACCTCGCCCAGCTTTTAAGGGGTCTGCTCCTATCAATCTTTCCGATCGTTTGAACCAAGTTCTTCGATGGGCCTTGGGATCAATTGAGATTTTGCTGAGCCGGCATTGCCCCATATGGTATGGCTACAATGGAAGATTGAGGCTTTTGGAGAGACTGGCTTACATTAATACCATTGTCTACCCCTTGACCTCTATTCCACTGCTTGCTTATTGCATACTTCCTGCTTTTTGCCTTCTCACTGGAAAATTCATCATTCCAGAGGTAAGTGATTGTTTTGCTTACGACTGACCTGTATCCCAGTGCTTTCTTTCAATATTGTATCATTACCTGTTCAATCGATTTGTGACATCCATTTTTTTTGCAGATAAGTAACTTCGCTAGCATGTGGTTTATTTTACTTTTCGTCTCCATTTTTGCTACTGGAATACTGGAGCTTAGGTGGAGTGGGGTTGGTATTGAGGACTGGTGGAGGAACGAACAGTTCTGGGTCATTGGTGGTACATCAGCGCATCTGTTTGCTGTTTTCCAAGGTCTTTTGAAAGTGCTTGCAGGTATTGATACTAACTTCACTGTTACTTCGAAGGCATCTGATGATGATGGAGAGTTTGCAGAGCTTTATGTTTTCAAATGGACATCTCTTCTCATCCCTCCAACTACAGTCCTTATTGTGAACCTGGTGGGTATAGTGGCTGGTGTATCATATGCCATAAACAGTGGGTACCAATCATGGGGGCCCCTGTTTGGCAAGCTGTTCTTTGCTATATGGGTCATTGCCCATCTCTATCCTTTCTTGAAGGGTTTGTTGGGTCGCCAAAACCGTACACCTACAATTGTCATTGTCTGGTCTATACTTCTTGCTTCCATTTTCAGCTTGCTCTGGGTGAGAATTGATCCCTTCACCTCAGAATCTACCAGAGCTGCTGCAAATGGTCAATGTGGCATCAATTGCTGAGACATCCCAGTACCATAATGTTGTGGCAAATGCCATCTCTCCTTGAAGCTTTTCATACTGTGTATATAACAAGATATGAAGGTATTGAAGTCGTTTGGATGATATGATGTGATCCAAAGTATGCACTTTTTCTCTGTCTAGAAAGGAGTTTGATGGATCTTATAAATTTGGTCTGGAGCTGAAGGACAAAGACATTATTACTACTTACTAGAACCCTTTTTGTATCGTATTATTTATTTATTTATCTATTGTTTTATCACTTATATAGAAGTGTTTGTTCTTGGTCCTAACTATATGCTTAGTCGTACTGGACCTAAGTTGTGCAGCTTTATTTATAAAGTTAAAGAGAATGTAGAAACAATGTGGTGTTCTGTTTGAGAAAAACAAAAAGAAAGAAATTGTTATTCTTTTCAAGTAATGTGACTGTAATTCCATTGCATCAATGTTTGCTGATAATAACCTTTACTTTGGAAGCCATTTGGTTCAATCCTTAAGTCTTCCATATTCTATGTAAACGATTGAATTTCTTAAGGAGAGAAGCTGATTTTCCTTTGAATAAGAAATTTTATCAATGCCTTATTGAGATAGGTCTAGATCACACAAGACTGAAATCAGTGAACCCATTTCACATCATATTTGGATTATTTCTATTTTTGTCTTTTATTTATTAATTTGTATATAGAATTCGTAAATGTAAATAATTAGTCTTTTTATAAGTTGATAATCGACTTTAAAGTTAAAGACATTGTTTATTAATTAATTTGGGGTTAAAGGATCCCATTCCAATAGTACATATAAACTATAATATAGTGGATATTTATCAGAAGGATTAAATACCGAAAACCTATTTCGTCCTAGTGTACCATACAATAATGACACGTTGCTAGTGAGCTTAGTCTGGAAACCTCATAAAAAGGCAGGATTGAATTGATTTACACAGAACGACGTCGATTTGGTGTAAACAAATGAGCTATGTCTAAACCTCGGCTATAAAAAGTAAAAACAAAGGGGAAGGGTTTTTGCTGTTATTTCAATATCAACATCTGTAGAGGCTAGAGAGAGTGTTCTGAACTAGGGAATTAGGGTTTCTCTCTCTCTCAAATGGAGGTAATTACAGAGCAAGTTAACAACTTGAACATCACTGACTCATCTGCAGCAAACAAGAAGAACCGAATCCAAGTCTCTAATACCAAGAAACCTCTCTTCTTTTATGTTAATCTCGCTAAGGTATTCTCTCTTTCCCCTCGCGCACATTCTTCATTTTGCTTTATGTTTCGTTGCTCCGAATGGTCAACAAAAGGAGCTAAAATGTGTGCAATCTCGGGGGGTGTTGTAGAATGTTAGTAAGATCTTTTAGGGGATTAGGGTTTATATTCGCCATGTGCTGATATGTTGTTTATTTGCATTTTCATTTACCTGGAACCTATGTTTGGTTGCTGAGAATTTAAGGGAAATATAATAGTAGTGGGAACATTTTGGATTTTACTATACTTGTACGGCTAAGAATTAGGCTTGCCCCCCAGGGAAAGAAATAAAGAAAATAAAAAAAAGAAGAAGGAAAGCAGTCGATGGTAGGGGAACAAAAAGAAGGTTATGTTGAAGTTAAGTTATGGTAAACATTATGATCAAGTTAATTTGTTGTAATGAGTGCTTCCAGGTCCTACGCAATGAAAGATATTCGAATATCTTTATTTATTGAGTTAACACTCTCTCTCTCCCTTTCTCATTTGCTAAGATACCATCTGATATACTGTTTGATTGCTGGTAAAACAAAAGGTGAGGATTAGAAAATTTTGGTTTTGTGGTTTTGCAGTTTTTGTTCTTTTGTTAAGTGAAAAACCTCAACTAAACAGATTGGGATGAATACCTTTCTCAATAGGGCCATGATAGAGCCGGTGTTCCCCTTTCTATTATGGAGCTATGCGTTCATGTACTTGTGCACATACACACAAGAATATCCTTGGTCGTATTCATGTTTATATGTCTTTATTTTTTTGGAGGACTTGAGGTCCACGTGGTGGTGGTCAAGGATTCAGTGGTTTATGCATGGTAAATGATACCTGTATCCTGTCTTGGTGTTTGGTCATTTGATGGTTGATGATTGTCTTTGCAGAGGTACATGCAGCAGCATTCTGAGGTGGAACTCTCTGCTCTTGGAATGGGTACAGTTTTTACTCTCTAAAACCTCTCCTTGGCTCTGTAAATATAGTATAGTATCATAATTTGGTACTCCATTGCGAATATTTTTTCTATCTTTGTGGTAATACTTTCTTGCCGGTTTAAATCAAGTATTTCATGTCTCTTTTGATTAACATTCAAGGAAGTTGGCTAAAGCTTTTTTTGAACAACATAGTTGAGTGGTTATGGGTATGTTTGTCTCATGCATTTTTAGTGCTCATTGCTGATTTGCTATATCTTCATGGTGACCAGAGCTATTGTAATGTTTGTCCCATGTTTGACCAGTTGTATAGATTTTTGTGTTTTCACGTATGGTTTTAGTCCCATGGTTTCTCATCTATTGTACTGCTTGTCTGATACTGTGTATAGTTGGAATCTGTGTTGTTGAATGGTTCTCCTCATGTATTTACATTTATGTTACATCTACAGCTATTGCCACAGTTGTTACAATTGCTGAGATCTTGAAGAATAATGGACTGGCTGTTGAGAAGAGTGAGATTTTTAGACTTATTTTTTATTTGATTTTTTTGCTTTCAAGTACATAATGTGCATTCACTGTTGTGGTATGCAATTCATACAGAGATCATGACTTCTACTGTTGACATGAGGGAGGAAACTGGAGGACGACCTGTCCAAAAAGCTAAGGTAAATTGCAATATTATACAAGGCAGTAAACTTCATTTTGTAGTTGAAACACAAGTTTTTTCATCCCCTATGTTTAACCTCTGATTAGGTGTAGGTGTCATTGCCATAGCCTATATCGGAGATTTGTGTTCACATGTATTCTCTTTAGCATCAATTACAGAAAAAAATAATAATAATAAATAATATCCCAAAAAGAATACAAAATGAAGAGCAAATAAAACAAAATAGAGTTACAAATAAAAAGAAACATAGAATATGATTTTTTACTCCCAAAAAAGGAATTAACATAGATGACAAGGTATTCACTCTTGGTGATAATGGAGTGTGTATCCATTAAATGGATAAAGTTGTCTGGTTAGATCAAGTATTGTTACACTTTTGCCTTTGTGAAACATCAAGTGGTGTGTCCTAATCCCTTGGAGGAGTATGTCAAGGCCTTACATGCCTTGTTTGTTGGTCATCTTTATTGTTGAGTCCCTCGAGTTGATATTTCACATGCAATTTAGGTGTGGGCAATAACATTATCTGTTCAAAATTTACTGTTAGGCCTATGAAGTGTAATCAAGTCAGGATTTGGACTTTTAGATTAACCTGTGTGAAGCACACATGTAATTATAGGAGATCAGTCTATTTGACTATGACAATGTTTAGTGGGTGCTCGATTGTACTATTCTCTATATAATTTTTTATTATAAAGTTTGAGAGTTGATAAAATTGTTTTTGCTAGATTGAAATACTGTTGGGGAAATCAGAGAAGTTTGATGAGTTGATGGCTGCTGCTGCAGAGGAGGCCCTGGAAAATGAGGAGCAGAGCTGAGCTTTTTAGATTTTACCTGGAATGTAACTTGTTCTCAAGTTCGTTAATTATGGATTTCTGTAACGGTTTTTCCTAGATGAACTTTTATCAAGTGAAGTTTTACTAGTAGTAACATAATTCTTGTAGGAATTTTTGTAAAATTCAATGCCCTCGGTTGCTTAATTCAAATGTGTTCTGAAGTTTATGTAACCTTCTCTGTTTCACAATGGTCTGTTGGTGTTGGTTTGTTTATGGTTAGGCATGATACTTGACCATCATTCTTTAACTCACTGTTGACCACCATAGTGAAAATAAGGGTTTACATGCCATCATTCTTTCACTGTTAAACTCACTGGCTCACGCTCAAGGGTAATCCGGTAATGAGAAAAATGAAGTCTTTTGTTAATGCAGATTGCTTATGAATTTCTTCGAGCAAACGTCATCTGTAACGGATTGAGTCACAAAAATTTGTAACTGGAAAAACAATTTTTACTGCAACTTTAAGTTAACTGAAAACACTTGGAAAGTTATTTAAATCATAAGAAACTGAAATTTTACCAACCAGAACAAACAGAAAATGTCATCTCATAGGTAGGATCTGTATCGTCAATTCCTGATAATTTGTGAATCACAGTGACTTAAACCATCTCTTACAGCATATCAAAATGCGTCTCGTATTTAAATTAAACAAAATCTCATTCTCTCACATTAGACTTTGAGTCTCATCCAATAAATAGAGAGGAAAAAAGCCATTTGATATTTCCCCTCCCCCCTCCCCCCTCCCCCCAAAAAAAAAAATATCCTAGCCCGAAAATTGCTTCTGTGAACGAGTCCTCAAACAAAAACTATTTAGTATCAAAGACACAGCAAAATTATTAAACCCAGCATATTTTAACAGGTATCCGAGCCTTTTCAAAGAGATTCATGCCTCCTCGTCTTTCTCTACCAGTATTCTTTTGCAGGCTTCATAGCACATAAACGAAATCCCAGCAGCAGGCACCAACTTCATGCAGCTGGGTCCCAACCCTTTATACAAACCAGGGATCCCTTCTTTCTCGAGAATGCTAGCAAGTGCATGAAGAACGTTCCTGTATACCTGTCCACTGACAGCTCCAACCTGCATGTGCTTGCGAGCCACCTCAAGTGGGAATGTTGCACTACTTGATATAGCACCTGCTAATGATCCAATTAAAAGGGTCTCAATATTGCCAATTTTTTCTTGCTTGAATACTTTCCTATAAGCTTTCCGTAATGTATCATAAGCAAAGTAATTGGTGGCAGCATATGGAATTACTCCAATAAGACTGGGGGCGAGACCTCTATAGAGTTCTGCAGGGCCTTCTTCTTGCATTATTTTTACGAAAGCATCAACTATACCATTATAAGCATCTCTCTGCAAAAATTACAAAACCTTCTATTTATAAATGTCATATGTAAGATCAAAACTGGATTTCTAATTATGTTTCAGCACCTGTATAGTTAATCGAGTCTTGACCAACTCAAGAGGATATGTGCACAAAGTTGAGCTAACTCCAGCACAAGCCCCAGCAATTAATGATGCAGGAATGGGGATTTTTGACTGTTCCCCAGACTTGGCTGACAATTTCTTGTTGACCGTATCGAAAGCAAAGAGCTGCAGAGAGTAAAATACAGGTTTAGATGCAAGTTATACTGCATTAAAATTCTGCTACTAAAGAATGGGTACAAGCTTCGAAAAACTGTAGAAAATGGAATTTCTGAACTCCTTAAATGACACCTTATATCCACATGTGGCGAACAACACCAGAGAAAATATTTTATTGAACTCTGTTACAAGCAGATGAAATCATGGCATTGAAGAATTCGAGAACTAAGCTCTTCCTAATATTTTGGAAGCCAATAACGAGGAAACCACCTTCCATCATTTTCTTTCCCATTTTTAATCAACTGTAGTTGTATACACAAGGAACCATAATAAAGACTTGCACAAAATCTGCAGCATCATCCAATTTGTTGTGCAGTATAAACACAAGATACCAGATCAAATATGTTTTAGCCCTAGATTAATTACATTAATTTCAAAATAGATTTCTCAAGTGTTTTCAAAATTTACTGAAAGATAGGGTTTGCAGGGAAAATTGGGAGATAAAGGGATCTAGAACTCCCAGGAACAAGAAGTAGCAGAAGCTCAAAAATAAAGACGAAAAGGATACTTAAGCGAAGAGTGGTGGGACTGAAATCTGAAATGACATTAATCATGCTGGTATAGTAGAAAATAGAAGAAAGCAATGAGTATGACTAGTCATATTATAGGCAAAAAAAAAAAAAAAAAAAAGATTATGTCTTAAGAGACTACAGAAACTGAATCCAAGTTTTCAAAGAGGAATTACGTCCTCCAAGCGACCAAAAGTCCATCTTACTGGTGGGAGACATAAATTCAGGGACCGAGAGTGTTACTAATAGCTTGAGAAATATAAGTAGGAAAGTTGTAATTACATGGCTGTAGAGAGCCGATAAGCATACTGCTAGTCTAAAACTGATTATGGAGGATATATTTAGTATCTTATCCCACAAAAAAAGAAGGAAAAGGTCAATGCAACTCTAATAAGTCCAATAACATACTCATGCAAAACACTTGATAATGATTAAAAACAACACTTGATATAATTTTTGCACCCTCATTTTTCTTTTCAAGATCAAAACAAGCAGAGACAAGCCATAAATAACCACAGAAAGGTGATAGGAACAAAATATTGTCTAGAGGAACCCCTTTCAAATTGCAACTATACAAAGCACATGATATTCACATATATTAGGAATAAGTTGAACAGTTACTCTTATTCTATGAAGATACCCAACTTGTATATAGGAAATTAGATTCAAAGAAGTACAAGAAGCTCTTTCTCAATCTATGCATAGAAACTATTTAAAAATAAAAATAGTTCCTCGGAAGTCAAACTCGAGGATAACTTTGTTACAATGTATTATACTTCTGCAAGATATGCTCAAGTTTTGGCTTCAAATGAATATTTTACATTTATTGCTTTGCTACACACTACTTCTTTAACAGCATAGACTTCAGGCTCCACCAATGAAACAACTGCTTTATACAATACCTATTACAGAATTTTTGAAATGATATGAACTTTTTCTTTTATTAAGTTTTAAATTTCAACATGCACAGAAGCAATAGCTTAAATAGCACACTTAATTACTATTTCAAACCTCTGAATTAGTAAACTTTTACTCTCAAATACAGAGCCAATTATCTACTCATTCAGTTGAACATAGACACTTATTCTCAAAGCAAATTTACAAAGGGCCACCCAAGCTAAACTTTAGACAATGAAAAGAAATGTAACCACACCCGAAAGCGAAAAAGAAATTCAGTTACACAAGCCACTTCACACTTCAGCCAGACGTACTAACAAAAAAAAAGAATGATATCATTGAAACAGAATTACAAAAAAAAAAAAAAAAAAAAAAAAAAGGGGGGGTTACATAAGCAAATAACTATTTAAGACACTCACCCTCAACCATAGTATTGTAAACATGAACAAGAAAAGACAGAGACTTGCAAATTCCATAGGCATGAATAACCCGCTCATATAAAAAAAAAAACTCTAAACGAATAATATTCGTATCATCGAATCAACAATCAATTAAACAATCATACATAAGATTATACCTATGTGGCTATCAAAAGCGATAAACTAAAAAGACAATCAAGAAAATGCATTACCTCAATAGCCTTGCTAGGCGCAACACGAATGACATTAACCAAATTACCCCTAAACAAGCCCTTCCACCCATCAGTCTTCATTATATTTTGAAACACCTCACCAGTAGTATGTCCACTGCTCCCCACCATCAAATGCGTCCTTATGGTCTCCAATGGAGCCACAGCAGTCCTTGACACAGCCCCGGCTATTGCTCCACTAAACAACCGCCTCAATGAAGGATTTGCAATCTTGATTTTCAATTTAAGCCCACCCTTCTTCTTCTTCATAGTCGTTTCACCTTCTGGCACCTCTACAATGCAAGCACCATCCTTTGAAGCAACGTACTTTACATACAAATCAGTCAATGGAGATTTGATGCCGCCATTGTTATTGTCAGGAGAATTTGGAGAGTTTGGAGAAACGCCAAAATTCATTCCCATTTGGCCCACGCTTGCAAATAAGCCACCCAGTTGATACTGAGTATGAAAGTTGTCGTCTTTGAGATTCCATTGAGATGCCAAATCACAGATTGAAAAGAACCCGTCTCTTCTATCATCAAACAGTTGAATTCCTCCTCTCTTACCCATAGCAAAAAGATTTAATAAAAAAAGAGAAAACCACTTCTGAAAAAAGCTTTTAATTAGAATTCAGAAAATACCCGGATGAAGTTTTTCATAGTTTCAACATAATAGACAATATTTATGTTGAAAAGATTTGATTTTACGCAAACGGGTGGCTAAAAAATCTATTTTTTTCGAAATGGGTAAGAGAAAAATAGGAATTTATTGAATATGCGAGGAATAGGCGTTCTGTTTGAAGACACCGAAAGCAGAGGCGGTGAAAACGAAGGAAGGTGCAAATAGAGAGAAAGGAAATGATGAAAAAGAAAGAAGAAGGGTTAGGTGAAGCTCTCTCTTTCTCTAAAACTGTACTGTTTGGTTTGCTTATATTTCTAAGTAATAAAAGGTGGCTTTCTTCGCCGGCTGTTGTTGGGGAGGTTGGGAGGGGTTAGGTTTTGCACTGTGCTCATTGAATTTGAAGACTGTTGAGATTTTTATTTTATTTCTTGAGATTTTAAATTAGTATAGTTATGCTTTTAAGGCATTATTCTTGGACCATCCAAAAAAAGGTATTAATATATAAATAAATAAACAAATATAAGATGATAAAAATGGCAGAAAATAAAGAGAATATTTACTGATTATAGTTTAAAGGGACATAAATTAGGAACAATAGAATCAAATGTAGGGGTCAAATATTCAAATATTCTTTAACCCATTTTATATTATATTCTCTCCTAAAGGGAAGAGATATAAATAAAAATGGAAAAAAGTATTAACACCAAAATATTTTAATTTAATTAACCATAATGTTGTCGGCCATCTCACCATCTAGATTTAGAGGCCCAAGCCCATCTTATGTCTGACTGAGCATAGCAAAAAACTCCTGATGCTATCAACTAAGCAAATATTGAAAGGTAAGTACTGAAATGGCCTTCCAGTTCCCAAAGGTTGCAGGTTTTTTGAATGTTAGGTTTGTGGCATGGCATCCCTTTAATTTATGCAATGTCAGTCTGGGAGTGAACCCATGTTATATCTCTGTAGGGGGGAATTGCAACCATGTTTATCATGTTACATAAAGAAATTTGCACTGCCATGTGCCATTCTGAAAAAAGCAAGAAGTTGCACTTCCTAATTTTCCTTTCTCTCCTGCTGTCTTTACCTAACACATTGATGATAGACTATCAGATATTCAGATCACACTCAGACCACCATGAAATTCTAACCATACTTCAAATCCATATTCAGTTTTCTAATCCATTAACCACATAGTTTAGTTGGTAAGTAATTGTAGTTGAAATTAATTGAGAAGTTTTGACTCCTGGTCCTGGGCTTAATTGGGTAAAATTTCATTTATCTGAGGATGAGTTAAGTATTGGTAATCGTCTTAGAGATAAGAATTGCGGTTGGAGATAAGTGCTGCATCTTCAGAGATTACAAATTGTGAGAGTCGCCAAGAAAGTTGATATACACACCAGGATAAGAATCCAACGCTTGTTAAACTGAAAATAGAGTTGTATTTACACACAAATTAAGATGAATGATCTACAAATTCCATGAATTTCAGACTAAATCAAATTCACAGCTTGATGTTGATGACTCACTTGTTTACTGCCTGGTAGTTAATACCGTTACCTTGTGAAGCTTAGGTACCGACTTCTTTCTATTTTTCAGTTAGTCCACAAAATAAATAAATAAATAATATTATCAGTTATTGCAAGGAGCTTCACCTTCTACTGGTTTTTCTATTACCAAACTGACTCTATACTACTATCTTAAAACCATAAAGATATCGAGTTTAGCTTAAACATGCCAATTTGTCTACAAAATTTACAGAAAGTGAGACTAAAGCATCGCACAAGTCCAAAAATTTGTCACCTATTATCTCAGAAAACAAGGACAGAAACGCTGTGTGGTATTTTTTTGACTAGCATCTATGGAATCCCCCAATTAGCAATAGTATTTGTGCAGGAAAAAAGATTGCTTATCTTATTTACTTTCAGAATGGAGCTTCAAATAAAGGATATCTACTCAAGCAGCTACACATATTCTAACAAGTTTGTGGAAATCATTGTGTAGTAGATGAGCTTTAATTTTAATAATTCTCCATAGAAACATAATTGATATGAAAGTCGGCTTCTCCTCACCTTTTATTAAGTGATAAAGCTTGCAGAATTATAGTCATGAAGTATCAATGAACTCTAAAAGCTCATCCAGATTCCAACTGATCACCATCCCATTATCATCAGTCTGTACACGTGATCTTTGCACTTTATATGGGGAAGTCGAAAGAGAAAAATACCAAAAAAGAGAGAAGCTCATCGCAGTTCATCTATAAATAGGGTCCAAGAAGTAAGTTTTGAAGCATGAACTAATCATATATTCTCTCTCTTTGCTCTAAATACTATCATGGCCGCACTCTTAGTGATCATGGCAATAGTATTGAGCTTATTAAGCAAAGAAGTAAACCTTGTTCTTGGTGATATCGGTATCGCTTCATCTTATCATCTTAGGTGAGTGAACTACGAAAAATACATTATTTTTGTTCGATCAACATAAAGCTTATAACATGATATTCAATAAACGGTTACGTCTGATTTGTGTCGTTTGTGCAGCAACTAGGTGTAATGGCAATTGACAAGATCAATTCCTTCCAGGAAATTTCTTGTTGCCGAAAGTGAAGGCTGGTGGAACAGCGGTGCTGCTTGTCGGAGACGTTATAGATTGAGGTGCCTGAGTGGCACTAATAAACCCTGCAAGATTGGTCTATTGATGTAAAGGTGGTGGATTTCTGCCCAAATCACCTTGCCCTTCAACCAGCCTCATGTCAAATGATGCTTTTGCTGCCGTCTCGCACTCGGGTGGAAAAATCAACTTTGAATATGTCCAGTACGTATCCTCTCCTCCTCTTTGTTCTTATTCTACTCTTATTGTATCTGTTAGCTTAAAAGTTTTATCAACTTCTAACTTAATAATTGTCCATGCAGGCTATGACTTCAAGATTATCCAAGTAAGTTTTGCCCGTCAAAAGTGGAACAAAAGTAACCTAGTTGTAGAAAAGAAGGAAGTTTATTGAATGTAGAATTGCAATGCCAGAACCCAGAAATCGATTAATCCTTGCGTGTAATCTTGTAAAAATCTGAGTTGTTTTAATGACTATTCACACTCAAGTTTTCTGAAATTACTGCTACAATATTCTTCAAATTGCCGAGATAAATATATGTTCTGCTTAATCTTTAAAATGAAAGGCTTTTTAATCATGCTCTTCCAATATCAATTCATAAGTTGTATTATCATCCATCTTACAGAAATGGGAAATGGCAAAAGTTAGAATCAAAACCTTTCAGTAATGTTGAGCTCATACAGGGTCCATGAAAAAGCCAAAAGACTAATATTTTCAACCATTTATCTTAAGTAGTCTCACAAAAGAGGTGGTGGGGTTGACTGTTGAGGTTGAAGGACCGTTAATTGAAGAAACAGAAATTGACTATAAAAACCAAATTCACACTTAAATCGATGAACAAAGATAGCCTCCTACTCAAGAGATCCCTATCATGAAGTCTCTTTGTTATGTAAGAACAAACTTATTCGTGACATATTGCATCTGCGACAAGACTATAAGAGTATTAAGTTGGTGATTTAGTTCCCAATCTTTTGATCTACTAATTGAATAAGCATCAGACTTTAATGCTTGCGATACATCAAAACATAACTCAGTATGTGTAAGTGGAGAGTAAATGAATGCCACTCACACTCCAACAATCATATATTCTAATAAATTCCAAACAAGGCTAGATCTGAATTCTCCTTCTCTTTGGTCCATAAGTATGCTCCATTGGAATATGTTAGCCAGAATATATGACTCCACTGAATCAAAATCAAAATTATGCTAATGATTATTCAAAGCAATTCCCACCTAAGTCATCCCAATGTTTTAGCAAGGCTTCCAAGAGTTTTGTGTCTCAAGTAAGTGGAGGGTTATCCATACTGGATTCTAGCATGCTTAGAAACTATCGAAGACAAAACTTTTCTTCAGTTTGACTGAAAGTTTAAAACCCACAATCTATTCACTTTCATACCACCAGTGCAGCCACCACGCTTGGCTGTTCACTTATTTATGTACTTGATGACAATATTGAGATCTTAGAACAAGTCTGCTAGGAAATTCAATCAAAAAATGACACCTACCCTTTTGTTACGGCCAATTAATTAAACAATCTTTAACCAATCTTATCATGTAGTTAGTGACTTAATGGCAGGATAGTTATCTCAAAGTGGCGCCAGTAATGTGTACGCAGAATACCTTATTAAGAAATATGAATGAGCTTCAACCATGCATATCCAGGTCATAATCTCTACTTTTTTCACCTTAAAGATGATAATGAAAGATCTTAAAACAAAGACATCCACTATTCTTAATTTAGTATCCCATGTGCAGTGATTATGCAGAGTCACTAAACAAAGCAGAAAGATTCATATATTTAGAAACGGAACTCTTATCATATCACATTCACATGAACTAACTAATATCAAGGAGTGAGCACAGCAAAAAGAAAGAAATTTGTGATCTTGGGCAGTTAAGTTAAGAAGTGAATAATGGGACAAAATTGGCAAAGAATCAAGCAATAGTTATATTGCACACCTATCTGCTTTACTGATTAGTTATTAGTTAATCACTTTTAGACATAAATAAAAAAAGTTAAATTCCCTAATGTCATACACAACTTTCAACAGAAGAACCAACCAATATGTTTCAACAACTTAACTGGCAGTTTTGGAAAAGAAAACTGACCTCATTCCACAGCCGTAAGCCTCTAAACCTGTTGCATATGGCATGAATGTGATATCAACTTCAAATATTCCTGTATACTATATAGAAAAAGCAGTGACAGAAAGTGATGAATAAAATTAAGATTGGCACACACAGACGTAGAGGGAGAGGGTTACCAATCCAATGAATCATTGTGTATATTGAATAAAAATAAGCGTAAAAAAGCAAGCGGAGAGAAGTTCATTAAAATAAAACCATTTCGGTATCTTCATGCTCTATAACACATAATCAACTGAGGTCATATTCAACAACTTCGATGTTAAATGGGGCTATTATCTTATGATAATCCCAAAGTGGCCACACTTTTAGCTTTAGTTCGTTTGTAGTTTTTGATGGCTGTGAAGAGTCGAGAGCACCCAGTATAAATCCAAAATTGGGGCGGGCATTCATTGAATTTTCTAGATTATTAAAGCAAAAGGGACAAATATGAATCTTGTACTGATTTCAGATATCAACTTGTCACTTACTACTATATGAATAACGATACAATAGATGTAGCTTCGAAAAGAATATCATCAATTTTTATTGATGTAATCTTATCTTACAAGACATTTCCAGCATCCATCCTCAATAATAACCAATTAAAATTGGTTAAATCATAACAGAATAAAATTAATATAAGATGAGAAAGGGTAAGCTTTGTTCGTTATTTTGTACCCAGGGTTGAAAGGGGTCCCTGTAAGTACAATGAATTTATTCCTCTTGATCAATAATTGGGATTGTGAAGGCAATTGCATGACTATTTACATACTCTTGATTTTGCTTTGGAAAAATGGATGAAGAGAATGAACTCCTTCCAGGTATAGAGGTGTCTGCATTTCAATCAAGCGAGAGACCTACAAAGACGACTTGTTTCTGTTAACAAAATATATGCAACAATTTCTTGTTTAAATATGTTATGGGCATAGAGCCAATAGATAAAACATGAGAAGCACTGTTAACTGGAGTTTGAAACAAACTGATTGGAATAGTTCAAATCATATATTCAATTAAGTTAAGCTGAATATAGACATACAATATTCTAGAGTAAAACAGAAAGAAGATATAAAAAGAAAGTGTTAAACAAAATCTACTCCTAAAATTACTCTCTAAATCAACTCCTAAAAGTACTCTCTAAATCACCAACTACTCCTAATAAATACGGCCAATAAATGATTCCAATTTAAATCAATAAGACTTAAAATAGAAACAAATGTTAGAGATTCAAGTATGTATTCTAACATTAACTAGTAAATATTATGAATCATCAGTTAGGTACACGCCACACAGTAAGGAATCACTAATAAAGAAACAGGACGCTTTTGTGCTTAATATCAAGAAACACTGACCAAGCAAGCCACAGTACCATTGTTCAAATGTTAAAAAGTAATATATTTTGGATCAGCTCAACAAACGCATTTTATCTCTTCCCTTCCCTTTCTTAAGAAAGGAAGGGAGAGTGCACCAAAAAACAAAACAAATTTTTGAGAAAAGCAGAACACTACTTACTGCTCGGCGGAAGGCAAACATCTCTTCTTGTCCAGATAGCATGGAAACTATACCAGCAGGTGCACCACCTGAACTCACAGAGCCTTCTGCTAAAACATTTTGGCGAAGTTTCCCTCCCTCTATCTCTGTTTCAAACTGAAAACTGAAATACAAGTAGGTATGCCTATGTTAGTCATAAACATATGATTCAGAACCCCTAGATTTCCGAAAATTCCTAAGGTGCATTGATAAACATTTCTAAAGAAAAGAAAGTATATAACATTGCAAACTTGCAGCTCAGTCTAAAAATCAAACTCCTTCATTTTTTGCTCTAAAGAAAGAAATAATAATTCCAGAATTAAAAGCTACAGTTGGAAAACGATTTATTGAGATCCAGAAACATTTAGGCAGGGTATGCAGATGAAAAATAAATGATATCAAGCCAACTGGTACAAAATAAAATACCTACCTTTCCAAATCAAAAAGTGTACCCTCTTCAGTTCCTTGAAATAAATCATCAATAGAAGAAGCCGCAGAACAGACAAGGCAGCAATGATAGTTGTATAGCTCATCAATTAGGGTGATAAACCTACGTGCCTAAAGTGAAGCAGGTTAGTATCAGCAGGAACAAGAATGTAATTAATTGTGTCAATCATAGTTGATCTGTAGGATTTGAAACAAGATTCCAAAGCTAAAAAAGTACTTAAAGTAGAAAGCAGTTTCTGCAATGGAACTCCCAAATATTGTTCCTTTTCTTAGCTCAATTATATCAAAGTTTGGCAGTAAAAACATTAAAATGTTGCTAATGTACCTTGTCACGAATTCGCATACTCATTACTGGAATGTCGGAGATGAAAACAGTGTGATAGTTTTGTGCTACTGCAATATAATCTGCTGCACCCACCTGACATTGGACAATAAAGTTAAAAACACCATCCCAAAAAAGGAAAAGTGAGCAAGTCACAAACAAGCCCAAGTTAAAAGTAAAAAGGAAAACAAACTATCAAATAGTTTAAATGCCTAGCCATCTTCTAAAGTCACTGAAAGAAGAGCCTGATGAGCTTTTGAGAATTAAAATAGCTCACCTAAGATGAAAAAAATTTGGCAGATGAAAGTAATCGATTTAGCAAAAAAATAAATAAACAAAAGATTAGTAATAAAATGAGGATATCTACACATACAAACACACTACGCATATATATGAAGATGTGCAATTATATATAGCAATTAACTAATAAATGATTTGTTGACTAAATAGAAAAAGTATGAACAAAAATCACATATTCATGCAGAAGGGCAAGTCTAATACCGGGCGACCACATAGATACTCGAATGTTAACCGTGCCACTCCATTACAGCTTTGAGGAACTTCCAATGTTCTGATTGTGAACAAAAGTGCAATTTAATTTGGGAAGGGTAAATTGATTAAATTTCTGTATTTAAGACTGAAAAGTACCTCCCAAACATCACCCGGATGGTATGGGATGTGATTTTTCCTCCCAACTGGATTGTGACTTGTTCCCACGTTGTCTCAAATGCCCTTAGAGCATTGCCATCCAAGGGCCAGAAGTAGTGAACCTGCATGTACGAAACTATAATCTCAAAAACTACACAGATAGAAACAGCATGCTCAAACACTTGTCAATAATTAGAACCTGACTCTTTATTTCTCAAGTTATTTTACACTGGGACAGAAAAAATTGAAGCGTGATGACAAGCTATGATTTAGTCACTTCACCCAGAAAAAGCTTGGAAATTTAATGAAAATGTTTCAACTCGTAGTCTTAATCTTTCGAGTTCTTTTTTCCCATTTCACTAGACTAATCACCGCATACATGACAAATCTTTTTTAGCTGAAGATTCAACTTAAATTTAAACAGCAAACATTCCTAATATCGAGGACTTGCCTCTTCCTGAATCTAACTAAATGACGGAAAATTAAGACCGAGAAAAGCCATCATGATAGTTCTCATTTTGCCTCCAAAAGGTTAAACGTGAAAGGTTGTGGAAGATATTAAACTCTACATAAAATCACCTGGTGTTAAGATGTCAAGATAATTCTTAGAGTAAAAGATCTTGATGGTAGTTAACAGATAAAGAAGAAACCACCAATGGTAACATCTCACCTGGTCTATAGATCTTTGTGCTATAAGGCGACGGTAATCGATTTCACTTCCAATTGCAATAATCTCACAATGCTTCTCCAATTTTGAAACAAATTTTTGGAATAACTCCCGGTGCATGCCATCCTGCATGAGAAGGATTTTCAAAAACACAAATTAACCCAGGCAAATTATATTTTTTTCTGAAAACAGTTGTAATGTTTCTATGCGTTATATATGTTAAATAACCACCCAATACATAAACTTAATGACAAGGACCATCAATAATAATATTTAAGCTTTAGAACATGGATCAAACATAACAACCACTAACACAACTAATCATAATATTAAATAAAATAGGGGGATTCGATAACAACAAACTCAGTTTATTATAATTTCATCAACACAATGAGGAATTTCAATGCAAGATCTGGTCAATTAAGCTCTTGCATTCATCAACATCAATCAGCAACATACCTGATTTAAATCATGTGGTTCTCTATTACTTGTGGCCACAAGAACAGTTCCAGTACTCAACAATCTGCTTAAAATTCCAGATAAGGCCACAATAGCGAATACATCCACAGTCTGTACTAGAAAGCAAAAGATTTATGTCATAAAGAGTTGCCAGTTCAATAAGCTGGTTCTTTTAGCAACAGGTTTTGGGAAGTGATAAACACTATCAAATGTTACCACATAATCCTAATTCATCTTTTGGAAAATGCAGAGAGTTCTTGGCTATAACTATGTCAGGGTAATATGAAAGTGAACTAGCATGCCATTTTGTTCAGTGAGAACTTGGTCATCGGTAGAGCTCTGCTTTAATATGACCTTTACAACATGGATTTTTACTGTGCCCAAGCAAATTACAGAGAGCTACATGAAGGATATCATCACTGAACTTCAGAGTAAAAAATAAACCCATATATATTTGATTGCTTAATATAAAAGTGTCAACATATGATATCTGAGCAATAGATTTACATTGAAGCAAGAGTGCAACACGACCTTATAACTGTGATGTCAATGAAATAAATGAAAACCAGACCCTTTATACATGTAGCATCACCTGTATCTCATCAAAGCAAAGAACACTGGCCCCTCTTTGTTCTGCATGCTGCTCCACAAGAAACTTATCCGCTACAGCAGGAAGAATGTTTTTAATCTGAACATCCTGCTTATATCTTTCTTCTGCAGCTACCCATTCCTTAACTTTCATATCAAATGGAAGACTCGTGATCCAATTAGATATGCTAGATTGCAAAGAATTTTCCTCCACTTGATTTTTCCATAACCTATGCATATGTTCATTAATTTTTAGCATAGCCTGCAAAAACATATTTTTTTTTATAAATGGAATCGAGTGCAGATTACATATACAGCCACCTACTAATAGCATGCAAAGAAAATATAAAATCCTAAGAGTTACCATCAAACGACGGCATTCACATACTGCAGGGGAAGAAACCTTTTTCTCTTAACCCAAGTACAAATGCATAATCTTTCATATATGAAAATAAATTTGAATTTATAGATCCGATCACAAGGAATTTTTAGGATATCAGGAAAATCAGAATCAAGAGTTCACCTCATGAAAATGAAACCTTCGTCGAAGTTTAACAATTCCTTCAGTGCCACAATAAAACATGTCCATAAGCATGGTTTTTCCTACACACAACAATTTCTTTACTTTATAATAGTCTCATGAATAGACACAAAAAGATTAAATGAAACGCTCAGAGACAAATTTAAAAGCAACTAGCTATCTCCACTGCAACTGATTTATCTAAAGAGCAACAAGAAATGATCCATGGAACAGTACCATGCTATCAGATGAGAAACCAATTCATTGATATTGCTGAATGTATAATTAATTGTTATATCTTGTATGCCCAAGCTTCACAAGTAAGCATAAATAAGATCTACCAAAGCATAAATAAGATCTACCAAAGCATAAATAAGATCTACCAACATACCACTTCCAACGTTGCCATATATATAGAGTCCTTTTGGGGCTGGAGGAGCAGTTGGACGCTGACCAACAAGAGAATCCAACTTCCTTTCTCGGTTAAGGTATGAAACCCATTTCCCCACTCCTGGTTCTACATTTTTGGGTTTTTTCCTGAATCAAAAGAGGTTCCATATAATCAGACAAGGCATCATTAAAATTTCTCCAGTGATGATATCTACTTTGTTTCCAATATCCTTGAGAGGAATCACTAAAGCTCCGTATCTTTAATATTGTAAAGCCCACGGCCACAGAATACAGAATGCTTCCATCATGTTTTCAGAGGTTTCCTAATCTTTGGCAGTATTTGCCATAGTTTAATTAGGAAGAAAAAAAATGATTTTACAGCATATTAATTTATAGGAATCCCACCTCTGGTAATGGAAAAAGAAGAGAACAATTGAATCAGTTAAGAGGAATATTCTCAGCTATTTATGTGCTGTAGTTTCTCTCGAATTAGCTCAATGATATTTGTTCTTGATTACATCCATGACCTAAAGTACAGAAGCATCAGAACATGCAAATATAAACATATATTTTATAGTAAACCAGAGGGTTAGTCTAAAACATGTCATAACAGAACCAGACAATGCCTCACCGAAACATCCATCTTTCCAAAATTTTATTCTGATGCTTGTTAACTGAACCCCACAAGTCCCCCTGCTGCTTCAGCTCAGCTTCCTCCATCAATATCTTGCGCCTCTCATTCTCTCTTTTCTTCTCCCAGTTGGCTAGGTTTACCTACAAAAAGTAAGGAGAGGATGCAAATCATAATGGTGGTCAAAGAATAACAAGAACACCAAATCTGGCACATAGCGCGACAGATTATCACATCCAGACTTTACATGATATCCCTCCATATCTTTTTCATATTGTTCCAGTCTCCCAAGCAAATTTTCTAATGCCAACGCAATCCTTTCCTGGTTAGGATCGTGCTGCAGTTTCCCCTCCTCAATCAGTTTCTTGTACTGCATCAGTGGTCCTGAAAGATAAATTTTTTAAACCATATTAACGAAGATACCATGGAAAATTCAACAACCGCTATCTTTTTGTCTAATAAATATACCATTCATCAAAGAAGTGGAATTAAAAAAAAAAAAAATTTAGCTCACCTAAGATGAAAAAAATTTGGCAGATGAAAGTAATCAACTTAGCAAAAAAATAAATAAACAAAAGATTAGTAATAAAATGAGGATATATACACATACAAACACACTACGCATATATATGAAGATGTGCAATTATATATAGCAATTAACTAATAAATGATTTGTTGACTAAATAGAAAAAGTATGAACAAAAATCACATATTCATGCAGAAGGGCAAGTCTAATACCGGGCGACCACATAGATACTCGAATGTTAACCGTGCCACTCCATTACAGCTTTGAGGAACTTCCAATGTTCTGATTGTGAACAAAAGTGCAATTTAATTTGGGAAGGGTAAATTGATTAAATTTCTGAATTTAAGACTGAAAAGTACCTCCCAAACATCACCCGGATGGTATGGGATGTGATTTTTCCTCCCAACTGGATTGTGACTTGTTCCCACGTTGTCTCAAATGCCCTTAGAGCATTGCCATCCAAGGGCCAGAAGTAGTGAACCTGCATGTACGAAACTATAATCTCAAAAACTACACAGATAGAAACAGCATGCTCAAACACTTGTCAATAATTAGAACCTGACTCTTTATTTCTCAAGTTATTTTACACTGGGACAGAAAAAATTGAAGCGTGATGACAAGCTATGATTTAGTCACTTCACCCAGAAAAAGCTTGGAAATTTAATGAAAATGTTTCAACTCGTAGTCTTAATCTTTCGAGTTCTTTTTTCCCATTTCACTAGACTAATCACCGCATACATGACAAATCTTTTTTAGCTGAAGATTCAACTTAAATTTAAACAGCAAAAATTCCTAATATCGAGGACTTGCCTCTTCCTGAATCTAACTAAATGACGGAAAATTAAGACCGAGAAAAGCCATCATGATAGTTCTCATTTTGCCTCCAAAAGGTTAAACGTGAAAGGTTGTGGAAGATATTAAACTCTACATAAAATCACCTGGTGTTAAGATGTCAAGATAATTCTTAGAGTAAAAGATCTTGATGGTAGTTAACAGATAAAGAAGAAACCACCAATGGTAACATCTCACCTGGTCTATAGATCTTTGTGCTATAAGGCGACGGTAATCGATTTCACTTCCAATTGCAATAATCTCACAATGCTTCTCCAATTTTGAAACAAATTTTTGGAATAACTCCCGGTGCATGCCATCCTGCATGAGAAGGATTTTCAAAAACACAAATTAACCCAGGCAAATTATATTTTTTTCTGAAAACAGTTGTAATGTTTCTATGCGTTATATATGTTAAATAACCACCCAATACATAAACTTAATGACAAGGACCAGCAATAATAATATTTAAGCTTTAGAACATGGATCAAACATAACAACCACAAACACAACTAATCATAATATTAAATAAAATAGGGGGATTCGATAACAACAAACTCAGTTTATTATAATTTCATCAACACAATGAGGAATTTGAATGCAAGATCTGGTCAATTAAGCTCTTGCATTCATCAACATCAATCAGCAACATACCTGATTTAAATCATGTGGTTCTCTATTACTTGTGGCCACAAGAACAGTTCCAGTACTCAACAATCTGCCTAAAATTCCAGATAAGGCCACAATAGCGAATACATCCACAGTCTGTACTAGAAAGCAAAAGATTTGTGTCATAAAGAGTTGCCAGTTCAATAAGCTGGTTCTTTTAGCAACAGGTTCTGGGAAGTGATAAACACTATCAAATGTTACCACATAATCCTAATTCATCTTTTGGAAAATGCAGAGAGTTCTTGGCTATCACTATGTCAGGGTAATATGAAAGTGAACTAGCATGCCATTTTGTTCAGTGAGAACTTGGTCATCGGTAGAGCTCTGCTTTAATATGACCTTTACAACATGGATTTTTACTGTGCCCAAGCAAATTACAGAGAGCTACATGAAGGATATCATCACTGAACTTCAGAGTAAAAAATAAACCCATATATATTTGATTGCTTAATATAAAAGTGTCAACATATGATATCTGAGCAATAGATTTACATTGAAGCAAGAGTGCAACACGACCTTATAACTGTGATGTCAATGAAATAAATGAAAACCAGACCCTTTATACATGTAGCATCACCTGTATCTCATCAAAGCAAAGAACACTGGCCCCTCTTTGTTCTGCATGCTGCTCCACAAGAAACTTATCCGCTACAGCAGGAAGAATGTTTTTAATCTGAACATCCTGCTTATATCTTTCTTCTGCAGCTACCCATTCCTTAACTTTCATATCAAATGGAAGACTCGTGATCCAATTAGATATGCTAGATTGCAAAGAATTTTCCTCCACTTGATTTTTCCATAACCTATGCATATGTTCATTAATTTTTAGCATAGCCTGCAAAAACATATTTTTTTTTATAAATGGAATCGAGTGCAGATTACATATACAGCCACCTACTAATAGCATGCAAAGAAAATATAAAATCCTAAGAGTTACCATCAAACGACGGCATTCACATACTGCAGGGGAAGAAACCTTTTTCTCTTAACCCAAGTACAAATGCATAATCTTTCATATATGAAAATAAATTTGAATTTATAGATCCGATCACAAGGAATTTTTAGGATATCAGGAAAATCAGAATCAAGAGTTCACCTCATGAAAATGAAACCTTCGTCGAAGTTTAACAATTCCTTCAGTGCCACAATAAAACATGTCCATAAGCATGGTTTTTCCTACACACAACAATTTCTTTACTTTATAATAGTCTCATGAATAGACACAAAAAGATTAAATGAAACGCTCAGAGACAAATTTAAAAGCAACTAGCTATCTCCACTGCAACTGATTTATCTAAAGAGCAACAAGAAATGATCCATGGAACAGTACCATGCTATCAGATGAGAAACCAATTCATTGATATTGCTGAATGTATAATTAATTGTTATATCTTGTATGCCCAAGCTTCACAAGTAAGCATAAATAAGATCTACCAAAGCATAAATAAGATCTACCAAAGCATAAATAAGATCTACCAACATACCACTTCCAACGTTGCCATATATATATAGTCCTTTTGGGGCTGGAGGAGCAGTTGGACGCTGACCAACAAGAGAATCCAACTTCCTTTCTCGGTTAAGGTATGAAACCCATTTCCCCACTCCTGGTTCTACATTTTTGGGTTTTTTCCTGAATCAAAAGAGGTTCCATGTAATCAGACAAGGCATCATTAAAATTTCTCCAGTGTTGATATCTACTTTGTTTCCAATATCCTTGAGAGGAATCACTAAAGCTCCATATCTTTAATATTATAAAGCCCACAGCCACAGAATACAGAATGCTTCAATCATGTTTTCAGAGGTTTCCTAATCTTTGGCAGTATTTGCCATAGTTTAATTAGGAAGATAAAAAATGATTTTACAGCATATTAATTTATGGGAATCCCACCTCTGGTAATGGAAAAAGAAGAGAACAATTGAATCAGTTAAAAGGAATATTCTCAGCTAATTATGTGCTGTAGTTTCTCTCGAATTAGCTCAATGATATTTGTTCTTGATTACATCCATGACCTAAAATACAAAAGCATCAGAACATGCAAATATAAACATATATTTTATAGTAAGCCAGAGGGTTAGTCTAAAACATGTCATAACAGAACCAGACAATGCCTCACCGAAACATCCATCTTTCCAAAATTTTATTCTGATGCTTGTTAACTGAACCCCACAAGTCCCCCTGCTGCTTCAGCTCAGCTTCCTCCATCAATATCTTGCGCCTCTCATTCTCTCTTTTCTTCTCCCAGTTGGCTAGGTTTACCTACAAAAAGTAAGGAGAGGATGCAAATCATAATGGTGGTCAAAGAATAACAAGAACACCAAATCTGGCACATAGCGCGACAGATTATCACATCCAGACTTTACATGATATCCCTCCATATCTTTTTCATATTGTTCCAATCTCCCAAGCAAATTTTCTAATGCCAACGCAATCCTTTCCTGGTTAGGATCGTGCTGCAGTTTCCCCTCCTCAATCAGTTTCTTGTACTGCATCAGTGGTCCTGAAAGATAAATTTTTTAAACCATATTAACGAAGATACCATGGAAAATTCAACAACCGCTATCTTTTTGTCTAATAAATATACCATTCATCAAAGAAGTGGAATTAAAAAAAAAAAAAAGTTAATCCCCTGATCAATGGAATCGATTCAGGAATTCTACGATCACTTTGTAAAATATACAAGCCACTGGAATAATTGACCAGATTACATGTTGAACTAGGTAAGTAGGAAGTTGCGTTAAGTAGCTCCGACGTTAAAAACAACAGATTTTTTATTTTTCAAAGTTCAGTGGATCAAGAAATCCCTGTCTGTTCTATTCTCAATTTCCCTCGAAGAAACATTAATACTCAAATTATTGACACCAATAATATTCACATTCCCGAAATAAACTTATTTCCTATAACCATTAACATCATCCAGCTTATACTGTCACATTATCACAAAATCTGATTTTCATAATAATTAAAATTACTTAACATTAACTAGCATATAATAAGAGGGCAGGTACCTAGAGGCTTTGGAGATGAAAGGCGAGAATAACAGCGAAGCACATTTATGCAAACCTTCTTATTATAAGTTCCTCTTTGGACGTAAAACCCTAGATAGAGAAGCGAAGCCATTGAAGACAAATTTCTCATTCTTCTCTGCGGAGCTACGACTGTGATTTCGGTTTCCAAATGGCCGTCTGGTACACAGAGAAAAGCGTAGAAGGAAGTAGAGGAGAGATGATGTGGCTGTTTCTTTGATAACCACGTGGAGAAAAGTTGGAGTATTGTTGACGTGGATAGCAAAGGGACTGTTAGATTCGATCCTCTGCAATAAATGAAAACGCTCCGGGTAAATATCATGCACCTCCCTTGAAGTTTCATAAATATAAACTCATGTCTCTTGCTTGATTGTACGTACTCTTTCACACACCAATGATTACTTCAACTTTTACAGGCAACAAAAGAGCAGCAGAGCAGAGCTGCCTAGCTCTCCTCCATTCTTGCAATAGCATCTCAAAACTGATCCAAGTCCATACCCACATTCTCAAATTGGGTCTCCATAACAACCCATTTGTTCTTACCAAGTTTACTTCCACATCCTCCCATCTAAACGTTATAGATTACGCTTCCTCCTTTGTATTTTCACCCGAATACGATACCCGTATTTATGATGCATTCCTATTTAACACTGTAATAAGAGCTTATGCTCAAACTAACAATTTAAAGGCTAAAGCAATTGAATTTTACAAGCTTATGCTTGAATTTGGAGTTTTTCCCAATAAATTCACGTACCCATTTGTTCTTAAGGCCTGTGCTGGTATTGAGGACCTGAATTTTGGCAAGTCTATACATGGGTCGGTGTTCAAATTCCATTTTGGTGATGATATCCATGTACAGAATACTTTGGTTCACATGTATGGTTGTTGTAAAGGAGGGATTGAGTTTGCTCGTAAGGTATTTGATGAAATGTCAAAGTCTGACTCCGTTTCGTGGAGCGCGATGATTGGTGGGTACGCGCGTTTGGGTTTGTCTACTGAGGCCATAGGTTTGTTCAGGAAGATGCAGATTTGTGGTGTTTGTCCAGATGAGATTACTATGGTTTCGGTTTTGTCTGCGTGTACGGACTTGGGAGCATTTGAGGTTGGTAAGTGGATTGAATCTTTTATTGAGAAAAGGAGGGTTAAAAAATGTATGGAGTTATGTAACGCCCTTATTGATATGTTTGCTAAATGTGGTGATGTTGATAAAGCTTTGAAGTTGTTTAGAAACATGAATGAGAGAACTATTGTTTCATGGACTTCTGTGATTGTTGGTTTGGCAATGCACGGTCGTGGTTTGGAAGCTGTGGCTTTGTTTGAGGAGATGATAGAAGCTGGAGTCGCTCCTGATGAGGTCGCCTTTATTGGATTGCTCTCTGCTTGTAGTCATTCCGGATTAGTTGACAAAGGCAGAAAATATTTTGATTTAATGAGAAAAGATTTTGGCATTATACCTAAAATTGAACACTACGGATGCATGGTAGATATATTATGCAGGGCTGGATTAGTTCAAGAGGCATTTGAGTTTGTTCAAAAGATGCCCATTGAACCAAACCCAATTGTTTGTCGAACCTTGATTAGTGCTTGTTCTGCCCGTGGTGAACTCAAGCTTGGGGAGAGTATCACCAAACGGCTAATTGGAAATGAACCTATGCACGAGTCTAATTATGTACTTCTTTCCAACATATACGCGAAAATGCTCCATTGGGAGAAGAAAACCAATATTAGGGAGGTGATGGACAGAATGGGGATGAGCAAGATCCCTGGGAGCACTATGATTGAGCTGAATAACGAAATTTATGAATTTGTTGCCGGGGATAAATCGCATGATCAATACAGAGAAATATATGAGATGTTGGATGAAATGGGTAGAGAGATGAAGGCGGCTGGATATGTTCCTTATACATCGGAGGTGTTACTGGACATTAACGAAGAAGATAAGGAAGATGCTTTAAATAGGCATAGCGAGAAGCTAGCTATTGCTTTTGCTCTTCTCAAAACACCCCCCGGAACTCCTATTAGGATTGTGAAGAATTTGCGAGTTTGTCCTGATTGTCATTCTGCTACTAAGTTCATCTCTAAGATTTATAATCGAGAAATTGTGGTGAGGGACCGGAACAGATTTCACCATTTCAAGGACGGATTGTGCTCCTGTAGTGATTTCTGGTGACAAACTGATAATCAGTTTCAGGATTATTGTTCCATGATTATCTTAGCTAGGTAGAAAATCTCATGACTCCCATTGAGGTTTTCATCATGCTTTGAACCCCAACTCATGATCATTTCCTGTCATGGATTATGGAACGAATTTTGGGGTAGGCAGAAGCTTTGACAATTCTGTGCAACTCTTGTCCTCTAATTTTGGTCAACCTAACTAAATATCCGGACATGGCATGCGAGGGATCATCTGAAAGTCCTAACAAGTGCATACATGTCCCTTTTCATGGACAATGATGGGTATACTGCAGCTGGCAAGAGTTCATCAACTCGTAATCACATTATGCTTCCTGTGTGTCTTATTCTTTGTAAAGGAGATTGCTGTAGGCTGTTAAAAAAAGTTTCTGGTGCTTTTGGTACAGATACTCCAAAGGAATATTTGTAATCTTTACCGGCGTGCTTTCTTGGAAATGTATTGGGCTTGATAACGTTCAATGTATCTGTATTTGGAGAGCAATAAGAGCAATAAATCTGAAATGATTTTTAGTTTTTACCACAATGAGTGGATTTTATGATTTAGCGTCAAGATTTTATGATGTGGACATGAAACTGCAGCCTCATGGATTAGTGCAATAACATTGATATAACGAATCAAAACAATAATGGTCATTAAACAACCGACTATCATAATTAAGATCATTAATTACGAGATACTTAAAATTATGCATGATTGATTAATTTTGTATAATTAGAATATGCACTTTTTTACAACTTTCAGCCCTTTGTAAAGTTTATTTTCTTGAGTAGCTAATTTATACAATGGTTCTGCTACTGAGCCAAGCTTGTTAGTGGACCAACTCTAGTTTGAGGCATTGTTAACCCTATTCCATCTTCTTAAAGAAATGTGCCAACTATATAATATATTAAGATAATATTTTGTCCGACATGCGTATCTCAGTGTCAGTGCTGGCACATCTTCCCGGGAGAAGGTGACTCGACAAAAGATTGGAGTAAATATCTTCATATTTGATGACCGTAGATAAACGGTGACCGCATGCAACCTGTCTTGTGGTTGCTTCAAGTGTTAGGCTTATGAGATATTTGCTTGGCTTGGGTTGGAGTTGGAAAGAGGAAGTTGTCTTCTTCTAAAGTGGATGTAGATAATGACTCCACGCTTATGTTGGAAAAGTAACAAGGCTAGCTTGTCATGGTGAACATTTTTAGATGTTTTCGTCCCTTTTGCCTATTCTTTGCCAGAATAAGCCAGAGATTTCTCATATTCGTTTGTATTGCCTTTGAAGCTTGGAGCAGAAAGTTAGATGTCTTTGAACCTAACAGTCTCAGATTATTATTAGTTGCTTTTTAACTTTTGAAGGGCAGATATCTGCGGCCTTAACTCTGTTGAGTTTTAGACACAGAATTTGATCCTATTTTATGTTGTCGATGACCAGAAAAAACTCTTTCATTATCGACTCAGAATACTGTATTACATGCTCTATGTCAAAGCAAACCACTGCCAAGATATGTGCAGTTATACTGGGTTGTTTTAGTGACATGCTGGAAAGTATAGCAATCCAATCACCAGCCATCATTTTCATTCAGTAAAGTAATTAGTGTGATGCTCTTCAAACTCAGTTTATTGTTGCTTTCAGATATTCAAGTTTGCCTTACAGAAGCTGCTGACCGAATTCCCTACAGAAACCTGTTAAATCAATAAAGCTTCAACTACTAGTAAGCTTTAGTTTGTTTTTGCAATAATGTTCTGCAACCGAGTGGTTATGATCTTTACCATTGTTAGCACTGAGATGTCTTTGTTACTTTCTATTATCCTTCTCTTTATCCCGTTCAATCTTTTCTTCGGTTTGGATGTGTCGTGGATCAGATAAATTTAACTCTAGTTACTAATTAGTTATCTTGTATATCTACCATGTCAGGAAGAACTTCTATAATTATATTATTTGTAAATGAACAACATTTCATGCGTCCAGCAAGATTTTTAATCATGCCTACTTTGACATTTAGTGGTGAATACAACCTCAGACAAAGACAAGAGATCTTGTCATAACCTTGTGGGGTATGCTTATAAGAAAGATGATGAACCTTAATGCCATAGTTTGTCAACACTTGGGATTATTAAGTGATGCTTTTCTACTTTTATTCCTGTTTGGCTCATGTCATATTCATTTATAGTTAGGGTACTGTTCGCTGTGTCAAGAAACGAAGAAAATTTACAGTTAGAGTGATAATCTTAGCTATTATTCCTTCTATAATTGATCCATTTCCAATATGTTTACACATAGATATAACTGCAGCTTTTTAAGTCTGAACTGAAAAAATAAAAAAAAAAAAAAAAAAAATTGTGTGCATACTTATCTAGACTATTCCTGGGGAACATTCTACTATTAAACTATACTGCAGATTGTTTTGTTATCACTTCAGTCCAGACTTGTTAAGTTCATCTCACTGGTCATTATGGGTCATAGGTACTTTAATTTGTCATCTTCAATCTTATTCAAGCCACCCCACAGAGTCACGTTTCATCCATACCAACCTTATCTAAAGACATGCATATGTAGTGTAGAAACAATTTCAAAAAAGTTGGCAGAGTGTCACTAGCTTCTTCGTGATCAGACTTACTGTCCATTTGAGCTTATACACATGTATTTGTCTTCTCACTGTTAATGATAATGTACACGGATATATAATTGGCTAACTTCCAGAAGTTGGCCTGATCTTCCTGTGTATGCAAATTGCAATCTGTAGTGCTGTATGCTGATCACTTCATATGTCATCTGGTAAATATATTATACTTGTTGGATTATGTAACAATTGTTTATAGACCACATATTTTTCTTACTAGCAATTTGTTTGATTCGGGAAAAGCCATCCTCATGCATACTAGGAAATAAAAGTTCTTCCTTTCATGAGACCTTGGGAATAATGTTTAAAAATCAGATAATCACATATTGTGGGGAGCCCTAATCATCTTTTTTTTTTGAAATATTCTATGTCATGATTGAGGACTTGAACTTTGCTTACTTATTTAATTAAATTAGCGCATATGAAGACCTTTATTGATTAAGATACTGTTATCTTTTACTTCGTTTGGCTGAATTGGACCTTCTATAATATGATCCATGTGACAAAATATAATCCCACACGAGTTTGAGATCAGTGGGGTGCAAAATAATATGGTCAAAGGAAAAATTTCTGATACATTCCAGTTTTTAGGAGGAAGTACACAAATTCTGGGCTCTGGATCTGCATGTAGTGGAGGGCTCCCTGGAATATATGGTTGCATTATTGACCAAGTTGCTTTGAACTTTTTAATTTATATATATATATACACAAATTTACGTTCCATGGAGCAATTCTTCATGTTTAACAGGCCGTGTACCAATCACTTTAAATTGCTCAAATCACTAGACTTCTGCTTTATCGCAGGGCCAAGGCCAACAGTAATTGGTATCTGTCACTTTCAACTTAGAGCTTTACATATGCAATTATTTTTACTTTTGACCGCTTTTCCCAAGTTTCTAGCTTCTCTATCTATCTTTATTTGTCGGTTCACTTTATCCCATGCATTGAGCTTTTGTCTTTACTGTCCAATATTTGATAGGAATACAAATAAATATCTTCATCTTCTCTGTTGCATTATTGAAAGGAGCTGAGTTTACGCTTCAGCCCCAGGCATACCTGTATCATGTAGGACAGCCTTTATTCTTGAACTTGGCCTAGTGTGGTAAAAGCCTCACGCTTTTTTAGCTTCACCCATATTGTCATTGGATTCGTACTCTCTCAGCAATAGATGCGCTACTGTAATAATGCATAGCAGAAAGAGAGAATGCATGATTTGATACTATTAAACAGTGTGAATTGATAAACAAATGAGCTCATATATAGATGTGTTAACATATAAACAAAGATACGAATATTAAGATACGCTGAAAATGCATTTGTATGTTACTTACAGATTTCAGGACAAAGACAACAGGTTATTCTTATGTGGGTCTAATAAAAACTAATGTCCCTTGTAGTACTAGAGGGTTTCACTTTCACCTCAACTTGTACAAGACTGATTGACCGTGAAGTTCACCGTACTTGTTTCAGGTTCCAATAATATCTCAACTGAGAGACCAATGTCAGCCCCAATTATGGAGCCTCTTCAATCTGACTGTGTAGAATCTAAAAATGCTGAGGTTAGCACTTCATATAGAACTTTTTTATGAATAAGACCTCAATGAAACTGGCTCTTCAGTGATCAACACGCTGTTGTGGATGAGATGTTAGCGCTTCTTAGATTTAATAGGGAGACGGACTGCTCAACAGTTACAGGAAGGACCACTGAATCATACCATCTGCTGAATTTGACTACTTGTGAGGACCAAATAGATTGCCTAAGAACTTGAATTATATGGTGTTAATTATCTTCAAACAGAAATGAGTCACTGCTACGATCTAGAAAAGGAAAGGCTAATGGATTTTGTCCATACAAAGGAACAGAAGAAAGATACAAAGCTAGTAGCTTTAGCTTGTGTGGGGTAGTAAAATCTGCAAAAACCACTTAAAATGACTGGTTTCTGTATGTGGTTCACAGCTCTCAGGCTCAATTTAAACAATCCTATCATAATGAGTTTCTATAAATATGTTATGAATAGTGAGTCCTCAAATTTGTTTTTTCTTTAGCCATAGCCTCCATTCCAAAAATTCTTCATCACCTTCAGCCTCCAACTTTTGTATAGAATATCCATAAAATTATATTTAAAAGGAAAACAGTGCAAGAAGATTCAAGTCTGGAAAACTCCCATATTGGATATGATAAACCTAATCCTTAACAATGCCAAAACGAAGTGAAACCTCTCAGCAATAATAGTGGTGGTCACTGTAGAGAGAAAAGCACTTTTATCCTTGCCTATAAATTAGTGCCATTTGAGTGCCAACACATCTCAGTTTCCTAATTTCTTCCCATTCTATTCCCTATTCAAGTTCTCCATCAGAGCTTTGCAAAATATGGTTGGTGTCTCTAGTCTCTTTAGTTTCTCATTCTTCAAATTGTTTTCATGGTCAATGGAGTCTCCTTATTATAGAGCCATAAACATTATTTTGTTGATCTTTGACAAATAGAAACGTACCTTTTAATTATGTTAACAGGATCAGATAAAGAATTGGTCTGTTGCCGGTGCAGTAGACTATAAGGGATTTCCTGCTGACAGGTCTACGACTGGTGGTTGGGTTCCTGCTGTTTTTAGCTTAGGTATGATATGAATCTAAAATTGCAATTTTTTTGCTCTGCCATTCACCAATTGCTTTGCTCTCTTGGAAATCTACCAATCCCACATGAAATTTCCTGGTGAATCATATCGATCACGAATTCTGTTCTTAGCTTAGTTTGAAACTGATGTTCTAAATATGCATTGATAGCAAAACAATTTCGATATACTAAGCCATTAAACCGTTTTCCAGGCATTGAGATATGCGAGCGACTCTCAACAATGGGAATAGCAGTGAACCTTGTGACCTATTTGGGTGGAACAATGCATCTTTCAAGTGCTACTTCTGCCAATATAGTTACAGACTTCATGGGTACCTCATTTATGCTATGTTTACTGGGTGGCTTCCTTGCTGACTCCTTTATAGGCAGATACACAACAATTGCAATATTTGCCACTGTCCAAACTTTTGTGAGTTTGTAATTCTTCTGTTCTGTGGCTTTACTTCTATATTTGTACTTTTTTCCTTTTCTATACGGTAAGTGATATGATAATACTAAATCAGGGGACCAGCTTATTGGCTATATCAACGAAGCTGCCAGAGCTGCGGCCCCCTCCTTGCCATGCTGCCCAAGTTACTCAATGCCAACGAGCTAATGGATTTCAAATGGGAATTTTATATCTTGCCTTGTATCTAATTGCACTGGGGACTGGTGGCCTAAAATCAAGCGTTTCAGGATTTGGAACCGATCAGTTTGATGAGAACGATGAAAAGGAAAGGACGCAAATGGCCTACTTCTTTAGTAGGTTCTTCTTTGTCATCAGTACAGGGACTTTAATGGCTGTCACAGTGCTTGTTTACATTCAAGATGAAGTTGGTCGAAGCTGGGGTTATGGAATTTGTTCCATTTCAATGTTTATTGCTATAGTGATATTTTTATCAGGAACTCGAAAATATAGATACAAGAAATGTTCAGGAAGTCCTATAGTTCACATCGGCCAAGTTGTTGTGGCTGCTGTAAAGAAGAGGAAGATCGAACTACCTTCTAATACTGACTCCTTATATGAGGACTTCCATGAAGATGTGAGAATCCAGCACACAAATCAGTTCCGGTAAACAATATGTTCCATACAAACTCTGTAGATAAATTTGAAATATTGCTAATAGTCTATTTAATGTTAGTTTCCACTAATCTCTCAACTTCAACAAGTCCAACTCCACAATATTCAAGTCCAAAAAAATTGGCTGCAAATTGAATATCAGTTTACCATTCTTCTTTGTCCAGCTGTTTAATCATAGTCTAGCCCTAGTGTCAACTACCTCAGCTCATGCCTTGATGAATCTTCCATTTTTCTCGTATCATATTTTCAATAAATTGTATCAAATAGTTAGTCGTTCTCTTGGATCCAATTAAATCATCCCAATCAGTTCTCTAACCTCGCAGTCAACTAGTGTTCTATCTGCCTCGCAAAATGCTCTCTAATCTATCCATTACCTTTTGTCTTCCTCCTTATCCCTTTCTAGTTTCAGTTGGACCGATTTGATCATTATGTTGCTTCTTAAGTGCAAATCTTGTAAAAGAGTGCTACACTAAAATTGGGGGAGTAAAAAAACAATGCCATTTTTACTTTTAGAAACCTTGAAATATATTTGTGACAGGCTTCAACCTTTAATTCTTGTTGTTGTTTAATAAATACTTGTTTCATAAATCTTTCCCTCTGTGCTTCATGTTATAGCTGCTTGGACAAGGCCTCTGTTGTGACAAAAGCTGATTATGAAATTGACGGTTCCCAAACTCGCAACCCTTGGGAGCTTTGTTCAGTTACCAGGGTGGAAGAGGTGAAGATGGCGATTAGACTACTTCCAATTTGGGCAACAACAATCTTATTTTGGTCCACATATGCCCAGATGATCACATTCTCAGTAGAACAAGCTTCCACCATGGACAGATTAATAGGACATTTTCAAATTCCAGCTGGTTCCCTCACTGTCTTCTTTGTGGCAGCCATATTGCTCACTTTGGGAGTTTATGATCGAGTGATCATACCACTGTGTAAAAGATGGAAAGGAAAACCAGGTAAGAGAAGTAGCTCTCAGAAACCTTATGAAAATTTTAATATTTAATTCCATTTACATAGCTCATAAAAATTTATTCTATGGCATATATGCATAAGATCATTAGTCAAATATAGAGCAGAGGCGCCCTATCCACTGTTCATTATCATATGCGGCTATAATTAAAGTTCTTGTGGAATCCAAATACTACTTGAAAAGTTCTTTTTGAATTATTCACTTGCTTGGTTTTCTAAACAGGATTCACCAACCTACAATTGATAGCCATAGGACTCTTCTTGTCAGCTGTTGGAATGGTAGCTGCGGCCCTAGCAGAGGTCAGACGTCTATCAGTAGCAAAAGCCTATGGTACTACCATGACAACTTTACCGATCAGTGTTTTCCTTTTGATCCCACAATTCTTTTTGGTGGGTGCCGGAGAAGGATTTATATACACTGGTCAGCTAGATTTCTTCATCAGTCAAGCACCTAAAGGAATGAAAACAATGAGCACTGGCCTTTTCCTTACAACTCTTTCACTTGGGTTCTTTTTTAGTAGCCTTCTGGTTTCCATTGTGAAGGCTGTAACTGGAAGTAGAGGTAGACAAGGTTGGGTTGGTGAGAACATAAACAATGGGAGACTTGATTGTTTCTATGGACTTCTAGCTGCATTAAGCTTCATTAATTTTGTATTATTTCTTATTTCTGCATCATGGTACAAGCGGAGAACAACTAAACATGTTCCAGAGATGGAGATTATAGTGAAAGGTTCATCAGCTGAAGAGAAGCAGTAGGATTAGCTTTCGGTGCTTGTACATTAATAGTTATGTCAGGGCTTGTAACCCTTTTCAATTCAATTTAAGGATTGTACTGTTTGTTTCCTTGCAAGCTTATTGTATCAGAAACGATAAAATGCAAAGAGAAATCAGTAGAATGGACTGTAATGTTTGTCATTAATATCCTGCTATATTGTCTATCCATTCTGCTCAGATATGTTACCTTTTCTGCTATTTTTCTGTAACTTTTCCCAGAAGTTTATCATTTTAATAACATTCCTCATCTTTATGCGCCATTAGCCCAATCTTTCTAACATATTATCAAATTCTTCGTGGAATCTTTCATCATGCCCAGGTAGAAGTAGATAGACACCCATTGCAAGCATGAAAGTTACAGCAAATGAATTGGCCAAAAACTAAGAGCATTAATGTTATTATCACCACAATCATATTAGATAGAAAGTAACATGGTTTCTTCACCACCATGGATGAAGTGACTTACAGCAAATCTTATATTGGGATGCACCACATTTCCAAGGGATAAAGTTTCACTTTAACTAAATGGGACAGAATTTAATTCGATGGGTCATTGTAACAAAGATTACCAGTGGGAATATCATTTCACCAACCACAATACACTAAATTTGGACATCTCCAACCACAACAGATTTTCGTTTCTTTCTCACAATCAAATTTCACACGCCAACTACATGGAAATGGAATCACAAAAATAAATTTGTAAGGCCCTGACGGAATCCCACATCTTGAAAAACATATGCAGTTTCCCAACAATACGTAGTAGGGAAGGGTTGAAGAAAGAAATTTAAAAGCGCTTTCGCAATGAATTTATGAAAACAGAAATTAATCACCAGGAAAAGTTTAAGATTTAAGATAACAGCTTTTTAGTTTTTTACCCAACTTTTTTCCACTTGGAAAGCAAACAAGGTTTACTAACCATATTTATTAGGGGCCATTGTTGCGCGGCAATGGACCGTGACCATGAATGAATGATTCAAGGTTATGTTAGATCTAATGTTTAAGAAACAGTGTCTCCCAAGGATCTGACACAACACAATAACACATGATGACATGAGTAAGTCCCCAGGTACAAATGGCTGTTAGATTCCTTCAATGTAGGAGCATGGTTAGGGTGACACAAATCACAAGCACAACTGTTCGCATCAGGGTTAGGGTTGAACCTGCTTTCAGCACTAAACTATTCTTCACTGGTTTCTCTTCCACTTCCAACGTTATTTATTGTTACGGTCTAGAAAAGAACTCATAATACATAATACATTCAGTGTAGGAACTCATTAGCCATAATACCATCACTGTTATTTTACCAATAGTACCAGGTTTGTATTTGTGTCCTCAAACATATCTCCATATTTCAGTCGCACTGAACCACAGGACTTAAACGCAATAAAATGTAGGTGAAAAAGAAGAAACTAATATTCTCTTGCTCACAACTGAACGGGACAGGATGAAATCAAGATATACAAAGCAAATGGCCAACTTTGCCGGTTAAAGACCCAGGATTTGGTGGACTACACTGAGACTGAGAGCATAAGCAGGTTTGGTTTAAGTTCAAGGTAGTGGATTTTGTACCTTATGCCGCACGAACCCCAACCCCATATTGGAAAAGTGGCAAAGAGATATTATCTAAAGAATAAAAGGGAAATCTCTCAGGCAACTCTATTTAGTTGCACCAGTGTTCCTTCAGTAAATTCTTTATTTCATAATGTCTTCACCATCGACCAAATTCCCACTTCCAACCAATATTAGAGTCAAGAAAATAACAATGCCACAAAACTCCCATTAAGACGGCTAAACTTTAGCTATAGCAAAACGTAATTGAATAAATAGTCTAGAAAAACTAATCCAGATTCCAGATATCAGGTATTTCACCGACAACAAGAAGGTGCCAAATTCACAATAAATATAAATGACATTAGCCAAAAGGAATATATATGAATAAATAAGCATTAAAACTCCATCAATGGAAGAAGTAACACCTACAGACACATAATGAGTTAAAATGATAACAAAACAACAAAAAGATACAGGGTATTTGAGATTCTTACTCTACTAACATACATGATTCGGCACTGTAAGCAACAAGAAATGAATCTCATACCCATAATAAACTAGCACAATAAACCAAAACTAAAATGCATCCATGAGCAAAAGAAAAAAATCTTTTCTCCCAACTCAGAAACCCTTTTTCTTCATCACCCTCCTCTCCTTGCACTTATTTTCATAATTTCATAACTCATAAATCAATCCTGAGACTCATTCCTCTTCATGGATCCTCCTTCACCTTCCCTCTCCTCCAACAACTTCCCTGCTTCCTCATCAGCCTGTGCAGCCTTCTTCTGTGCTTCCTTCGCCTTCAATGCCTGCAATTTCGAGTGATTATAATAGGCAACCCCCAAAAACGCCAACCCATATCCAAACAGATTCACCGGAGTCACGGTATCCTTAATCACAGACCACGAAAACGCGATCAACAACCAATCCTTAACAACACCAGCCACATTCATAGTCAAAGCAGATGTCTTTCCAACAAGCAAGAAAACCGCAAGATTCAATGCGAAAGCACAAAGAGAATTAGTCCCAAATATCACGAAATCAAAATGGAAACTGGATGTGCTCCTCAATACCGGCAACTCCACAAAAATCCAGGGAACAACCAAGAAAATCAAACAACAAGGTGCAACATAATACAGAGACGTAATAGGATTCAAAGTAATTCCCTTTGATGTGAGCAAGATTTGAATCATTACCAATCTAGTTGCCTCAAAAGCAACGGCACCCAATTGCAAAATAACCCCCCACGTGTCAAATCTTGCCTCACCATAAGCTGCCACAGCGACACCAAAGGAGATCGACAACATATTAGCCATGGTATCAGTCTTGAAATTCTCCTTCTTGAAAAGAACGCTGATGGAGTAAACGGCGACAGGCATTAGGGCTTTCAACATCTGGATGAATGAAACGGAGAGATAGATATAGGCAGAGTTAGAGAGCCAAAGACTGAGAGAATACAAAGCGCCGATGGGGACAACGGACGAGAGGTAAAGATCTCGTGACATAGAGACAGGCTCGACGAATTTGAAGACCTTGATGAGGAGAAATGCAAGAGTAGCGCAAAAGGACATGTGGATCATGGTAAGTGAGATAGGGAAGGGCCAATTGTACATCTTTTTGTCGAGGATGTACTTGTTGTAAACGATGACGGTGAAGGAGAGGAAGATCCATATGGCGACGTAGGTGTAGGATAGCAAGATCTTCTTGATGACACCATCGCTGAGAGCACCACCCTTGCCCATTGTTTGATTGATTGGTATAGAAAAGGAGGGGTGTGTAGGAAAAGCAGTGAGGGAGGCGGGGGGGTTAAGGGTGGGGAGATTGGAGAAGAGAAGAGAGAAGTAGGGGAAGAAGAAGATACAGTGCGAGAGGGAGGAAACTTTGAGTGAGATTTGGGACTAATAAGTTTGACATTGGGCGTTTGGGGGGTGGGCTTTTTCGTCGAAATGGGCCACTCATTCGTATTGACTATAGATTAACAGATATATAATTCCTTTTTAATTTTTCATAAACAATTACTTTTACATTTATTAATTTGAAATAAAAAAAGTTAGAAAGGAATATAGAGAAAATTGAAAAGCGGATTGAAATCCGGTGCACAGAATAGGGGATGTGTAACGCGCGTTCGTAAAATTCACGTGGGGGTTGCATGCTGTTGACCACCCACGCAACGTGACGTGCGCGCGCTGCATCAGGTGAGTCGCTCACTTTCCTTGCTTCTCTTCTCTTCTCTTATACACACACTTTTATAAATAAATAAATAAATAAAGAATAAGAAGGCACACTCAATCTTATTTATTTATCCTCAAATCTTTTTGTATATATAAATAAATGGATTAGTGTCGGTGGTGTTACAAATATGAGATTCAGATTAAAAGAAAAGTAAAGGGGACGCTTGTGCAATTTAGTTAAGTGACAGTCCATGTTACCATACTTCAAATTTTATTGAATTATGATTCTGACTTGTAAGATAATGATTGGTTGGAATATTATTTGAGAGAAATATTCATTGTATATAAAAATGGCCCCAAGGCTGCGGTTTAGATGAGAAAAATACAAGGTTTGGTATGCCTAACAAATTTAGCCGTGAATTCTCCATTGACCATTCTACAAAATAGAGATGGAGACTTTGTGCCAGTGCAACTATAACAAATTTCAGTTCTCTTCTTTAATTTGCCCATTTTTTTCTGTTTTAATGAATTTAACTTTGGCAATAAGGACAAGTTGTTTATTTTCATCTTTGTTTGTATGGATGGAATTGGAGCTCCTTTTGGCACGGCATTTATTTGTAAAACCAATCAAATTGGATAAGCATTGTGCGTTTGGGTTTTACTTCTGATAACTTATTTTATCACTAATTGGCATACAAGTGTCGGCAGGATGATGCTTTATTTTCTACCGTTTCTGACTTTGAACCGGGCTCGTGCCAAACCGTTAATCATAGTCAAATTTTCCAAAATCAGGAGTTCATTTTCATCGGAAATCAAACAATTTTATTGTGCAACCTCGTTTCAACAAAATCTTGCCTACTCTTACTATTTTGTTTGACACCATCAACTTGTAAAGTTTCCTTTTGGGTTTTTTACTTTTTGACTCTCTCTCTCCAAATTTTTACATAATACTGACACCTTTTAATGGGCCCAGACTGGCCCAAGTCCACACAATGAACAAACCATCTGAAAAAAAGTCTTGCACACGCCAAACACAAACCTGTGTAAAAGTGAAGTGAAATTTCAAGGCAACAATCAAGCATGAATTTGAGGTCTTCTATTACTTTCAGTAAACAAAACAAAAGTCAAAAACTGTTGATTAAATTGGAATTAAAAGCAGTAAAGCTTTATCGGTTAGTGTTGAAATGGTGGGAGGAATTTAAGATGCTTGAAAGACGAATCACAACGTTTGACATGTCGGGACGCCGTTTCCAGTTATCATCCACGCAGTCCTTGGACAGAAGAGCCATCTTCAACAAAAACAGTGAATTATTTATAACTGGATCACTTTGAAAATGGCTTAGCAATGTTAAAAAAGAGAGATTTACCTGAAAAACTGAATCTTCGTGGTACTGAATGAGGTTTGGATCTAAGCATTCTAACAGCTTGACCATAGGATTCTGAGTATCATTTAACACTGATAGCATCTGCAACCATATATTACATTCATTTAATCATATGCTTTTCACCACGGATTTACAACCATTAAGTATATAATATATGATAGGATTCAGACATACATAATCCACCAGAGAGCGATGTTCACGGTATTGATCATTTCCAGGACTTGCATCTCTACTCAGTGCTTGTTGCCCCGTAATTAGTTCCATCAGAACAACTCCAAATGAATACACATCACTCTTTGTGGTCACACACCCATCTCTTACATACCTATGCTTGTTAACACAGGAGAAGATGACTACAAAATCTCCATAAATAAAAGGCATTAACATTAGGAAAACCACACAACTCACTCAGGAGCAAGGTAACCAAAGGTGCCAACAATTCTAGATGCTGCAGCTGCAACTTCAGGAGAATGCTCTAATAATTTTACCAGTCCAAAATCTGCAATCTGCTTGAAAGAAAATCAGCATTAATAGCATGAAAAGCACAACGTTCCAAGAAGGGGGTCTCATCTCATCATCCATTCTTAGAATATACCAATTTGTATGCTGGCTGTCAACCTCATTATGCTGATTCATTCAACATAATTAGCTATGTTAATATATTTATCTTGTGAAAGAAATCAAGAATCACCTTTGCACGGAAATTCGAATCTAACAGAATGTTGCTTGTCTTCACATCTCGGTGGACATAATATGGTTTTGTGTGTTCATGTATGTACTCAAGGCCTTTGGCTGCATCAAGAGCAATCTGAACACGTGTAGTCCAAGCAAGAGGCTTATAACCTGCAGATAATTAAAACTCGGCACATAAGGAATAAAACTATTGACACATGATACACAATTTCACAACCATTGTATCAAACTACGAGCTCAAACCCAAGAAAGTATTAGATGAGACAACGAATAACGTTTTGGATTCCTAAACCTTGATTAGTTAGAAAATCCACACCTCTTACGCTGGGCTTGTGCAGATGGTTACTCAGTGCACCATTTTGGGCATATTCATATATAAGAAACAGAGATTCTCCACCAGCTGCGTATCCAATAAGCTCAATCTGATTGTATTATACAAGAAAAGAGAAAGGGAAAGTTCAATTTCAGAAAAGAACAGGAATAACTGAGCAGATTAGTATGCAATGAAGAAAGTGAATCCGTATACAAACCTGCAAAAGCAACAATATCTGATTATCTAAAGAAAAATAAAAGAAACTTCTGTCAATTCAGCAAAAAGAGTCCTACCAAGTTTGAATGATGAACTCTGCAAAGGATATTAAGCTCTGACAAGAACTCTTTTGACTTGGTGTTTTTCATCTGCTTGATAGCCACATCCTACATGCTTATAGGAAGAGGCTGTCACTAATGAATGCCTTTTAAGAAATAGTTCTAACTAACAAATGCTGAAACAAATTTACAGGATCCCCTATATACCAAAAAATAAAAATGGGGGAAAGCAAATTGGCTCCTCTTACTTACGATTCCTCTTAATTTTCCAAGGTAAACAGATCCATAAGATCCTTGGCCAATCTTTAAAGAAGTTCTAAAATTGGAAGTTGCATCACGAACTTCATGGTAAGGAAACACAGTAGCTTTCTCTGAACTAAATGAGGAAACAACACTTTCTTCGAATTCTACAAAGAAATGATCTCTTGTGAATCAACTCATGGGTGAAAAATACAGATAGTCATGTTTCAATAATGCTGCTCAAATCAGTTTTAAAATCTAAGTCTTATAATTTAAATTGCCTCTCACTTGTGTGAAATTGGCATGAGCCAAGATAACAGCGCAAGCAATTGAGTCTTCGAGGATAGACTTTTGATCGTGAAGTTCCCTTCCTCTTATAACACTTCCAAAACAGAAGGGCAACTGTTAATAGTATGCAAGTAAAAGCAGCTAAAGTGCTTCCAACCACAATCCGGATTGAAGATTTTGATTTTCTTTTGACAATGGGATCTGCAATAGAAGAATACTACATGAAAAATGAATAGAAATAAGATGATATTCCTAAGAAATTGAAGAAGATGAGCAAGACTGCTGATAAAGGTTGGCACCTTGATTGCATCAAATGACTATTGAGACTCAAAAGGCAGTAAGATTGTGGAAAATATGTAAATAGAAGCAAACAAAAGTGTATCTGTATAACTAACAGATGATGCAAAGCACTGTTCTACTCAGGGTATTAGAACTATCAATGCCAATCTACATCAAATAAGTGTCGTCTTCAAGTTGGCAAGTAATTCTAATGAAACAAAAAAAAAATTGAAATCAGGATATTCAATTAACAAGGAGAAACGGATCAGCAGTAAATGATGCCAATGATTGCTGTACAATTGTAGCCATTTTGAAGAATAGCAACTGAGATGGGAATCCTAAGTGTTCTATGTCTTTCATTCTGAAAACATTCATGAGAAGAGTATTCCAGAATTATCAGAAAGTGTGGCTAATCAGTCAAATGATGAGATTTATCTAGTTAAATTGTATCAGTTGAACCCTTATTGTTGAATTGTCCCCTAACTCAACCTAGTGAGTGCATTCTCAAAACACTATTTCTCAGTTATCATGGAGATAGTACAGCACTATATCCAATATTCCAATAACTATTCAAAAATTAGAGAAAATAAATGGTCAATTGGGAAAAGAAAAATTAAAAAAGAAGTCTGTATCTGACCTTTTTCTTCAAGCCCGGTAAGGTTTTGAAGGCCTGCTACCCATTTATGCGTATGCAACAGAAAAAGGAGAAAAATAAAAAGGTGAGTTAATCATTATTAGCTACTAAAAAATAGTGTCTAATTATGACACATACAATGAAATGCAATTAGAAGTCTAACTGCTAAAAATATAAAACAAAGCAAATTTCAAAATAAAGAAGAAAACAACTTTAAGTTCATTTGAGAAATGAAATTATGAAGCCTTAAGCTGTCAGCTAATGTGCTATGGACCCTATGATCGATAGCCTTCTAAAAATAAGATCAAACCAGTACAGAAATTATAACTAACAGAAAAAACCAAATGTCAATCTTAAATTCATATCATCAAACACAATAAGTTAACAGAAATTTTAATTTTTCTTGCCTGGTCCAGGAATAAAAATCACATCTCCAGCATGGATAATATTAGGATTTTCAAGTCTATTGAACATGGCAGTCTTGTCTATATCAACCTGAAACCTGGAGCAAATTCTAAAAAGGGTATCTCCAGATTCAACCTTGTATGTCAAAACATCATCAAAACTCTTTGAACAACCACATATGAGATCTAAAGTAACAATTTGTGTTGGGATGAGAGTTTTTTCATTTTTTTCCAACACAAATGACCCAAATTTGGACGAGACTTTCTCCCATGTATCTCCATATTGGATTTTGTAGTCCATGTGCCAAACATACACATCATGATCATGTAGGCAGCTGCAATTAATCCCAATCAAGAAACCATCAATAGTTCTATTCACTACATTAGGATTTACATTGAACAAAGAGGCTGTTTCTTCAAGGGTCTTTGAGGTCTCCGGAACATAATACAGTGAGGCAGGACAAGATTCAGTTGAAGATACATTACATGGAAGTGAAGAAACATGAAAACTCTGGCCTATTTTAAAAAGAGATAGGGATACAATAAAATATACCAAAAGTAAATTATATCTAGCGTCCATAAAACACATTTTTATCAATTCATGAATGCCAAAATCACTTTAAGCAAAGGACAAAACTATGATGATTTGAAACAGGTGTACATTTAGCAGATTACACAGAGATTAAAACAATGGTGAGAATTGTTAAAAAATATGAATGAGTAGAAAAACTGTTAAGTCTTTTTATATTTTGTGAGAAAGATAGAGCTACTTAACTAAACTATATGCTTGTATAAGGTTTAACTGAGTGGACTCTACTAGGTTTTAAGCTATCAAACTTGAACAGGATAACCTAAATCTCCCAGTAACTTCTAACCAAACAGAAACAACAACAGTGTAATCACCAACTACATTTTAAACTCAAGAGCATACTACCATGTTAATTTACAATATAAAAAATGATATACAAAATTTCCGGGAGACCGAGGAGGAAAGGGAGAAGGACAATGGATCCAGAAGCAGAGAATGAACAACGCAAGAAAAATGAAATGGGAGCCAGGCAATGAGGAAAAAAAAGTGATTTGATAACCTGGTAGATGATTGGAGTTTGAAGATGATGTTGAAAATTGAAAAGAAGACAGGTAAGAAAGTCCAAGAAACTCATGACTTGCAGGGATTCTTGAACAATTCAGTAAGGTTTTATTCTTGGTTCGGCCATTTGGAGTTTTGTGGCATCATTACATGTCATGAATAGTTCATAGAGATGTCTCTTTGTTGTGTTGTCTTTTACTTTCGTTGATAACGATTTTAATACAAATTTTGATTTCACGAAATGCAAGCTTTTGTACTTTGTAGTCCAACGGTTAGGATCATTGCCTTCCAAGCAATAGACCGGTTTGACGCAATTTTATTTTGATATTTAATATTTGTTTTGTGATTTTGATGTTCCAATCTCCCTTACTAATACATTTTTGACATTCCACAGCTTAAGTGCATGAGTGTATGACCAGTGAACTTATTGTACACCTTTTCAACTTGGATATTTCTACTGATTTTAACGAATTTAAGTTAGATGTTTGAATCAATTTGGGAAGGTACATATTTTTCAATCTCTCCTACAAATGCATTTTTACATTCGGCATCACCCATCAATGAAGTATGAAATATGGCCCATACTGAAATAGTGTATATATATATATATATATAATGCTATTTTCTATATACACTATGTATGTGTTTTTCACCCGAAAAAAGAAATAAAATTTTCAGAAACAAAGTCCTATGTATACATGCCACTGGTCATAATCTTATAATATATTTATTTATATTAAACTGGCATCACATCCACCTCTATCTCATCGTGGTATAGCATGGGCGGCTTTAGTAAGGCATTGCCACTTCCCGACCCAAAATTGGTTGTTGCAGCAGAAGAGGAAGAAGAAGACACCGATACATAAACAGAACTGGGCCGTGATTCTGGCAACTCCATCAAAGGCTCATTCGGGTTCAGGAAAACTTGTAGCACTTTTCTTATCTTAGGCCGCAATGTACAATCCGGATGCAAACATGCAAGTCCAGAAATCAACGTTCTCTTCACTTGTTCCTCATCAAATTTTCCCTGTAGCTGCCGGTCCACACACTCGAGCAACGCATTTTTTCCATGTAAACTCCAAACATAATCCACTAAACTATTTTCTTCCAAAATTCCCCTTGATCTTCTCCCGCAAACTACTTCAATTACTACCATACCGAAACTGTAGACGTCCGATTCTGGGGTAGCCTTTCCTGAGAAGCCTACTTCTGGGGCCAAATAGCCTGGAGTACCAGCAAGCATGGTGGTTGCACAGGCATCGTTTTGAAGCAATCTTGCGAGTCCGAAATCACCTAAATGAGCATTGTAATCGGAGTCCAACATTACGTTGTTTGGTTTAACATCTCGGTGAACCACGGGGTTATCGCATTCTTCATGGAGATATAGCAAAGCTGATGCCAATCCTGTTAAGATTTTGTATCTGGTTTTCCAATCAAGAAAGCCCTTCCCAATGAAACGATCAAGGCTACCATTGGCCATGTATTCGTAAACTAGGAGAAGATGCTCTCCCTCGTGGCACCAACCTTGGAGCTGCACTATGTTCTTGTGCCTTAGGCGCCCTATAGTACAGATTTCTGCCAAGTATTCCCTTTCACCTGTTACAAGAATGTTTAATTTTAGAAGTCTTTTTTAGAATAATTCAGAATATTTAACGATGAGTAAATTGAAAGACCTTGATGTGAGGTTGCTGAAATCTTTTTGACGGCTACAACTGAAGGAGGATTTGAAATGGTGGCCTTATAAACAATTCCAAAGCCACCCTTGCCCAGTAAGTTATCGTTGGTGAAGTTGTGAGTAGCCTTTTGTAGTTGCTTGTAGGTGAACATTTTAGGAATATTAGCAGCACTTCTTGAACGTCTTTCTATATCTACTTTCTTCTTTTTCTTCTCTTTTTTATTCCTCAGGGTTCTTCGAATAAACGGGAAAGCGAACACGACCACAATCAATAATCCCACAATCGGAACTACAATAACCAAAATGGCTTTTATGATATCCTCTTCCGATTGCCCCTTGCTTTCAATTTGTATTGATGTAAATATCCAATTAATGAGCTGATGGCTCTCAGGATGGGGCCCCGTAGAGGCTGTAAAACCCACATAAACGGAGCTTGGAACTGTATCTGACATGATAATAGATTGGTCAAGAAATTTGATTAAGGGTTTGCCAGCATATCCCACAGAAACATGGAGCATCTGCTTGTATCCGTCATAATCAATTTTGACGGTAATTTCTCTTCCACTTTTGAGATCAATCCCAGTGCTGTTGAGACTCTTGGCTGCAACTGGTTTTGTTATGCTTGTTGTGTCAATGCCTATATGGTTTCCGTCTGGATCAAGATCAAACTCATTCATGTAAGTGTCCAGCTCTACTGCTACTTGACGAACCACGCCATCTGCTTCCATTTTTCAGAAATTAGTTAATCAATTTCAAAACCAGAAACCAATCACTTGTTTTACAAGCTAAATACTTTTTACCTTTTGTGGTTTCATCCATGATTCCAAGATAAGCGCCATAGCTTTTAGGTGGTGAAGGATGGTTATTCTCTGCCATGATAAACGTCATCCCATCTCCAGAAGCAGCTGAATTAGCGAAGGTGGAAATCCTGACAGTGAAGGTAGTAGAAATAACGGCGGGCCAAGCTAGTACAGGTTGGTGAAGTAGAACCCGCCCAACTTTATAAAGTGAGTCCTGATACGATGTTGAGGTTGAATTATTGGCTTGCTCTGGCTCCGGAGTAAGACTCAAGTAGCCATTACATGCGGTCACTGAACCCATACAAATAAGGCTCCCATTGCTGCAACTATCATTTTTGAAAGAAGAGAAGTTGATAAAAGTACTACTCTGGACGCCAGATACTGAGGAGGCTAAGTTTAAGAAGATATAGATGATGAGAAGAAAAAGAAAATTCATGCTTGTTAACAACCACTAAACACCATTTTCAATACGAAGTACATACACATAAAGATGAGGTATATATCAATGAAGTTAAGTAGTGTGTGTTATGAAGCAATCTAAATTCAGTTTCTTGTATTGTATGCATATCCGGATATGAAATTGACTTGCATTTTCAAACTAAGAAATTCAACTTCTTGTCCTGCCTCGCTCTCTTAAGATTCCAGATATGGATAGACAAAATTAGGCACTTTCTATCAGGAACCAACCATATATTTTTTAATACTGCACAACAAGTAAACTTATCCACGAACTGAACCAGGAATGCCAATACGGGTCATGCAAATTTATAGCGTATTTTAATTGTATCTTTTGACTGTATTACGAAGCCATATATGTATATAGAATAAAATAATGAGTTTGTTTTTTTCAACAACGTTCTTTTTAAGTAATATATATATATATATGCATTTGATAGAGTCCATTTTTGGGTATTTACAGTATTATTCGGTTTACAAAATATTATTAATTAATTTCAAGAACGAAATTACTGGACAAATTTCTTGAGGTTGATGTTCATTACTAACAAATGAAAACGGGTATTATCTCAAATATAACAGTAAATAAATAGAAATTAGAGTTTACAATAACCTTACAAGTATAAAATTGGGGTCTCAAATTTGTATCCTGACTCATTTGATAATTACAATACTCTAAATTTCATATTTTGTCCATCCATTCTATGAAAAGTAGACTAGGAATTGAAATTTGAAACTTGCTGACAGCATTTAATAGCTACTTTTGTTGGCTGCAGAGTTATAAGGAGTGAGGAGTTAATTAATTGTAAAAATTTAGTGAGCAATAAATTAACATTAATTAATGCAGTGCCCCTCAAGAATTACTTGGTAATTAAATAATTAACAAGTGGCGTACATTAAGATTGTTACTAAAATGAGAGATATATGTGGGAGTTTGAATTTCTGTAACAGCAGCAACAGTGAGACAGAAATTTGAATTTCAGTTGTGTGTTTAGTTCAAGAAATAATCGACAGGATAGACAAAGAGTAGTATTATATTATAACAAAAACATGATATAACTAATTAATTAAAGCCAGATGATATGAAATTGTTTGTTTGGTGGAATATATTACTCTCTACGTTCATACTTTCGAGCCCAAATGTGTTTGCCATTGATTCGAAACTTTGCAATGCGTCTCCCATTCAGAATTCGATCAACAATGTTGACAGATCGTAAAACCAAACGAGCAAACAAGGGCTGATCATCATGAGATGAGTTAGAATTTTGTTGCATGTACACAGTATCAACACAATCGCCACACATTCTTGTAAAAAGCTCCCGAACTTCGTTTTCTGATACTGGAAAGCCCCTTGAGAAAGTTAGAAACATGGTTCTTTCATCTTCAGAAACATTATTATTATTTGTTGGGCTCCAACCCCATAATCCTCCTGCAGGAAAATCAAAATCCATTGCCCTTGGCACAATAGTCACGCCACCAAATAATGGATGAGGAAAACCAGGTATTACAAGAGGCTGGTTCTGAATTACCTGCGATGGGGTGGTACCCAACACACGCTGAAGAATATCAGTGAAAACGCGTGCACAAACTGTGTTAAGAAAATTCTTTATTCCACTTATTGCAGTGAATCTATTTTGGAGGAACATTTGCAAAGAAACGTGTTTCTCCATTAATCTTGTGGTAAAGATAATAGTACCACGGTTTGGTAACATAGATGAAGGAGTGTTTGATTCAAGACATTTGAAACATGAAACAGCTTCATCAGCAAGTGCATCCACCATACCATCTGAAAGTTTCATCATCTTGCCAACAATGTTGGGGAAACCTTTCTCTTCTAGCCATAACCATGTGGCCATCACTAGCAAACTTTCACCTGGATCACGCCTAAGACCTATTACCAATCGAGAAAATAATTCTCGATCGATACTGTGGTAAGCCTGGAGCTCCTCCAGACTGATCGAGGCCATAGTGTGACTTTTATCTGTTGCAGAAGAAATGGTGTTTAGAATTCTCAGACAAAATGTTTGTATATATGTATAATATTATTTACTTACATGCATAAGCATGCATGGCAAGTTGTGTGACAGAACAGATAGACTTAAATGCCCAATTGCGAATTTGTATGTACAGAGTAGATTCAATTCATCTACAGTGTATAAATTTCAAATTGCATGCGTTAGAAGAAACCAAATGAGGTTTTGTTTCTTGTGAATGGCAATTGAGATCCACGTAGAGCATTGCCTGCGTGGTTTTGTGCTGGCTTAAGAAGGAGAAGAAAAAGACAATGAACAGTCTAGCTAGCTGCTGTTATCAACTTTCCTTATACGACTCTTTCTGCACTGCATTTTTTTTAATGTCATTATTATTAAAGCTGGACATTTGATTCTAGTTTTATTAAGAATTAATTATCTCACCCTCTCCCCATTTTAGGTATCTCTAACTTACTCACTATTTTCAAAAAAATTAAATAAACTAATTAATTGTTTCCTATATAGCACAATTTTTCTGATTTTGGACAAGAAAGCTTCTTTTTTATTTTCTCAAAGAATTCCTTTTAAATTAATTTATCTCCTGGAACTCAACTGACAGCAAATTAATAAATGCTGGTCCTCTGAATTAAACAGTAAATTTATCAAGTCTGAGTAGGCAAGGGACATTAGGAGTAGTGAGGGTTGAAGTTCCATGGGCATTGTTGCAATAGGCATGAGTCTTCTTTCCTGGCACGGATGAAGAAATTTTAATTTTCTTCATTTTAATGTTAAAGCAACCAATTTCATCACTGCAATTCAATGTTATTGCTTGCTCCTCCGCCGAAGTTCCCTGCACACCGCTGTATGTTACATCACTCACCTTCACTGCTGATGAGGACTGCATCCATGCATCATTAATTAAAATCACTAATCCAATAGTTTAATTTGTATATAATATAGTTTAATTAATACAGTACCTCTCTTTTGCCGTCGTTGGTGTAATGCTGATCAATTATAATAGGGTTTTTAGAATCTATTAGTGTGATTTGCTCGAATGAGATTTTCCTAGCATATCCTGAACCCCCCTGGAAAACAAACATAAGATCATGTGAGTAATACTTATACACCCAAGAATTAAAAAAATATATATATATATTAAACTTATTATCTTATAAAATATATAACTACCCGAAATGTCTTAATTCTTGCTCCATTTTGAGTTCTAGAGAAATTACAATCCCGCACATGTACTTCTTCCACTCTATCATCAGCTCTATCTTCTCCTAGACTTCCCACACTTAAGACACACATAAATCCAAAGCATAAACATTAATCTTAATTTCCGAAAATAAGAAAATGATGATGAGGTTTTTCATAAGTTACCTAATGCCATGACCCGGTCCGCAGGCAACTCCGGTAATGTTGATAAAGGAGGAGCCGGTATTAACAGCAATGCAGTCATCTCCTATATAGTATACATATTATTAGTTTAATTACGTTAATTAAGGTTAATGAAACATGAGGGATAAAATATTTACCAGTTTTGATGATGGAGTGTTGTATATCAAGGTTGGTTGATGAAGAGATGTGGATACCATCGGTGTTAGGGCTGTCACAAGGTGAATTTATCTGAATTCTAGAGATGGATACACCAGTGCACTGATTTATTGAGATATGGCTTTTTGGACTGTTAACAAGACTGATCCCCGTTATTTGAAGATTATTACAGTTGTGGAAGTGTACAGCCTACAACAAGATTAAGATTATATTTGAGATTATATAAGAGGTTCTTAATTTGCTAATTAATCAAAGTGCACAACAATTTCTTATACCCTTGGCCGCGTACAGTTGTGCTTCCTCTGAAAATAAAAATATGGTATTAGATATAGATGATGAGTAAAGAAGAAAATTAATTAATGTGACGATCGAGTATGTATGGAGTTTTACGTCGGTGTTCCACCAAATAAAACCTCGGCCATTGATTGTTCCAGATCCTTCAATGACGAGACCATTAACATCACGGAAGCATAGCCAGCAATCTCTATTGCCATTCCATTCACTAGTAGTATTGGGTGCTATAATATCCCCCAAAACCTGTCCTCCAAACAATTAGATTAATTATGAGACATATATATATATATTAACTGAGTTAAATATTGTGAATAATCTGACCTGAAGATGGAGATCGTTGGAGTTGCAAGGACCTTGGAATAAAGTGGGCTTTAACAAGAAAGTTGTTGATGCAGGTATTTCAAGTGTTGGTCTCCCTGTCCCACCAGCTTCGCACAACTGTTTCCATGCTTTTAAGAAAGCCTAAGTAATTGAGAAAATAAAAAAATTGAATCAACAGTGCGTGGGAAGGAGTAGGATCCAGAAAGAGATTATTATTATTTATATACCTGAGAATCATCAGTGTGGCCATCTCCAATTGCACCAAAGTCACCTACATGAAAAGTAGGTTGACTATATCCAATGCCAAAACACAACATAAACAAACCAGCAGCAAGTAGCTTCTGCATCTGCACCTTTATCTTTTAAAAAAGAATCAGCTGATGAAGTTGGTAGCAGTCAAATATGACTCACCATTAATGGAGTTGCAAGGATTCCTCTCATCCCATCATTATTATTTAAATAATGCTCTCTCCCTGCCCCTCTTACTCCTTTGCCATTTATAACCTTAAACTGTAGATATAATAAATCTAGTTTCTGCTTTATTATTTGTAACCTCAGATTAGTAATTAATTTTGTCATTGATGATTCTGTGTGCTGTATGCATTTGTCTGCTTTGTTTATAGCCCACAATTCAAATTAATGCATGCTATATAGTTTTTATGGCTTAATAAAACAAAAAGAATATGCATATAATTAATATATAAAATTGAATATCCATTTACATAGAAGATTGTAAATTCGTGTTAGTTCTACTGTTCCTTTACCACTATACTACAAATGCCTTTCTTACAAACCAAACATCAGCCAAACTCAATGATTCATGGGAAAAAAACCCAAATACAGGAGGTTATCAATTCACTGATGGTACTCAACTCAGACCTATCCTTCTTAGACTTGACAAAAATGGCTACCCAAATTTCAGCCTCGGTTTCTTAAATACAAATTCGACTTCTTACGAAAACTTATATCTTGTGATAGTTAGATTCTTAAGAACCTCCAATTCATCCATCGGAAACTTTGATCTTCCACCCGTTATTATCTGGTCTGCCAATGGAAACTCTCCAGTTCAAAAGGAGGTCACTCTTGAACTAGCTGGAAATTTGATATTGAGAGATATTTATATTGAGATTGTGGAGTTAAATTCAATCCAAATTAGAATTGGATTAGAACATGGGTAATCCTAATTTGTGTTTAAGTATAATTGTTTTCTTTTAATAATACAATTGAAAATAGGATTATAATTATATTAGAAATTAAAATATAATTCCTATTACGATATGGGATTTGAGTCCTATTAGGAATAATGTCTCATGTATTACCTATAAAAATAGGTTAAGTTATAGAGTTAGACATCACAAATTGAATAGAAGGCAAAACCACAATTAAAGAGTGAGAGCCACCAAATAGGGTTTGGTGAGTGACCCAATTTGTGAGGCTTGAGAGATTCTTGTAATATTTCCTCTTTTTAATAGTAAAATTCCGCAACAGCAAAGTGGACATAGCTCTCATATGGAGAGTGAACCACTATAAATCTTGTGTTTGTGTGTGAAGTTATTTTGTGTCCTTTGTTCACATTATTTTCGCTTTCAGGGATTTAGGATTTACCAGTATTCAATTAAATCCCCCCAACTGTCTATGGTCGTCAGGTTTGGTCTACCAATACCTCTGGCAAAAAGGTTTCACGCATGTATTTACATGGAAATGGAAGCTTGGAACTTGTTGGTGCCAAAAGGAAATCGCTCTAGAAATCCTTTGATCACCCAACAAACACATGGCTACCGAAACAACTCCTGAAGTTTAAGACAAATTTGACTTCTACCATTTCAGTATCCAATCTGTCAATGTAATGCCTTCTTTCTACTAGTATTCTTTATAATATATACAATAAAACATACATACTTAGTATATGAAAATAGTTGGGCCCAAATTTTTTTCTTTACTTACAAAACATTACTCTTTATATATATCAAAATAACAAGTACAAAAACTTAGCATCGGTGGACAGTAAAGCCAATCCTCTCCGATTGTCGACGTCCCTCTGACCGCTACTCACTTATTTCGTGCAAAAACATTGAAAAACAATGGGGTGAGCATAAAAATGCTCAGTAAGTAAATCCCTTAACTCTTCTCCTTCTTTGGTTCTTTCCTTACTTAATTCCTTCTCTTTTCTTTCACTGTTTCTTCCTATGTTTCTTACTGTCACTGTTCTTTTCTTTTTTTCTATTTCTCTCTGTTCTTTGTTTCTTATTCTTTCTATTCTTCCTAACCATGATGAAATTCATGGCAATATGCATGAATAAAATGCATATGCAATAATGCATAAAATGCTTTTTCTTTCTTATTTCTATTTTCTTGCTCTATTTGTTTTCTTTTCTTTTTCTTTCTATTCTTTTCTTTTCTTTTCTTTCTTGTTTTTTCTTTTCTTTTCTTTTCTTTTCTTGGCTTATTCAAGCCTTCTCATTCTTTCTTATTCTTACTCTTTCTCATTCTTTCTTTTGTCATTCTTATTCTTTCTTATTCTCATTCTTTCTTATTCTTATTCTTTCTTATTCTCTCTTATTCTTTCTTTTCTTATTCTTTGCCGATCAGACTCGGTTGATGTATGGATTTTGAACCTTGGCCATGTGAGCGAGTACAGTCCTCATCTACATGCACTCTTGCGGACCGTACAAATTTTTTTTTCTTCTTAGGCCACTCAATTAAGGTGGCGTGTATGTAGGAAATTCTTCTTGGTACAACTCTCATCCACATACACTCTTACAGGTCGTACAATTCTTCTTCTTCTTATGCCACTTAATTAAGGTGGCATGTATGTGGGAATTTCTTCTTAACACTTACGGTTCCCCATCACAACAACCTATTCTTTTCTCTTCTTTAACACTCCTTAATTCTTTAATACTTATTCTTCCTTTCTCTTTATTCTTAGAATGTTTTATTTTTTATTCTTCATTCTTCATTCTTTATTCTTTCTTAAGTTTCTACACATACACAATTATATGCATATGGATGGCTGATGCTTAAAATTTCTTACTTAAATGCACTTACGAAATGCACATATGCAATGTTGCATAAAAGTAAGGTTTCTACTCAAACTTATACTTCTCTTAGGCATTTTATCAAAAAATACTTGTGCATAAACAAACCCTACTTAAGTATCATTCAATTTGTTTCTCAACCATCAAAAAATGAGAGAAAATCTCTCTTATAGCATCACCATACCTACACGGCAAACACACTCCCAAAAATTTCTCCAATTCTTCCAATTTCAACCCATCATCAAACCATCACATACACTTCTCATATTCAAATATATCCAACAACAAGCATAATTCATCATCAATCTCATCTCAATTTCTCAAGAATCATAACATATGCATACTTAAAAGAAATCTCTACCCACTTAAATTCTTAAACTTTAACTTGAGTTGGATTTTGAGTGGAATTTACTTACCTTATGCTTGAGTAGTCTCTCCTAAGCTCTCTACTCTTGTTGGATTCAAATCTTCTCTTAACCCAAGCATAAACTTCATAAGAACTCAACTTTTACACAAAGAAATCATAGATAAAGAGTATGAATTCTTGCCTTTTGAAGTCTAGAATCAAAACCCTATTAAAAATCACTCAAAAGCCCTCAAAATCCTTGGAAGAGTGAATGAAAATTTGAGAGAAAATGGAGGAGTAGTGTGGTGGTGGAATGAAGGAAATAAGGGTTACAAACCCTTATCATCTTATTTTATAAACTCACTTTCCCATTTTGCCCTTACACTTTTGTAGAAATTCCATCCTTGTCCCTTAGTCAATTACCATAATGCCCTCATTTTTATTGTATTCTTTATGAAATTCTACCTCTTTTCACTCTCCACTTTTTCAACTAATTTTGAGTGAAAAGACCATTTTACCCTTAATGCAAGTTTAAGGCATTTTTTTCATATTCTCTTAAAATAACTTTAATAAAAATTAACTAAGGGCTATAAAACATAATTTAAATCATGTACCTCCATGTTGGGCGTTACAATCAACAGGCAAGTTCTCCCTTCGGTTATCTTATAAGAATATTGGTTTTTACTTTAATCTTAGTTCTCCACAAAAATATCGAACTCTAGATATTCAAAATGGAGAAAAAAAATTCATTCGGCATGGACCTCTTAAAATTCTCTTTCAAAAAGGAAGGCGTGCGGTACACGGCAACAAGGAACCACTCCCTGTTCTTGAGGTTGGAATCGAAAGGCCAATTCAATATCTATCAAATTACCAATGGGAAGCTGGAGATTTTCGATCTCTCCATACAAAAACTATATGGGGAGTGTATCTACCCCACATATTGTGGCAATTACGAGGTCTGCTATCGGGATAAATGCAGTTGTCCAGGAGATTCAAGATACCTTAAGCAGTTGAATGCTACCGCAAATGAGTTTTCGTGTGCACAGGATGCGCCATTGTCATGCCAAAACATAACTCTTCATAAATTTTTTACGCTTGAAAATGTTTCTTACTTTGGATTTGTCTCCCAGTTTGTCGATATAGATGTAGAGAGCTACAAAATGGCATGCCTGAATGATTGTTCCTGCAAAGCAGCCTTGTTCCAGTACAAAAGCAACCTTAAAATTGGTAACTGTTCTTTAGCAATGGAACTTTATTCTCTAAGGAATAATACGGGAGTGGTTTTTAATGATAGTGCATTAGCATTCATCAAGGTACAAATGCAATCAAATATCATGGCAAAAATGCCCTCGAAAGAACAGAGACTGCCTCTGGTTTTATTAATGGTATTGCTTGTTTTTGCTTTCCGAGTTTTATCTATTGGAGCATTCTATTGCTACAAAAGATAGAGGAAGAAAAAACTTGTGCTTCAAATGCAAAGACGAGACAACTCCAATGACTCATCTTCCCTTCATGTAACCAACATTTTGAGGAAGTTTTCCTTCAAGGATCTGCGATCTGCAATGCAAAATTTACAGGTTAGGCTTGGTCGTGGAGGGTTTGGATCTGTTTTCGAAGGAGTCCTGCATAATAATACTAAAGTTGCAGTGAAACGCTTAGGTCCTAATGTAAAGCAAGGAAGGAAAGAAATCTTGTCAGAAGTTGAGACAATAGGCAACATTCACCATTTTAATCTGGTAAGACTTGTTGGTTATTGTGCTCAAAGATCAAATAGACTTTTGGTCTATGAGTACATGTTTAATGGTTTATTAGATAAATGGATTTTCCACTGAAACCACGCACAAACTCTCACTTGGGAAACAAGAAAGAAAATCATAGTTTAGATAGCAAAGGGGCTAGAGTATTTGCATGACTATTGCAATCCAAACATCATTCACTTTGACATCAAACCTCAAAACATCCTCCT